CTCAGCGCCCCAGCTAATGAATGGGGGATGATGCTGATATGGTGGATGCTGCGCATGTCGCAAATCTGAGCATCACGATTTTGCGAGGGATGCGAGAAGCCATTTTCTAAATGTATCAAAATATATGGTATATATGGGCTTCTTCGCATACACATAAATGTGTGGCTGGGAATCTGTGGCGCTACAAAATGGCAGACATTTTCCATTTCAAGTGCAACAGCAGCTCGAACAAAAATATATTTATGCTCATTTATTTATAAAGTTAAGAACTTTAATATTTAAGACAAATTAAACTGACAATATGGCAATAGTAGTTGTGTATTTAGACATATAAATCTGATATACATAAATATCCAAAACATGCACTTCGTGAGAAAAGAAATAAATAGATGTGCTTTGAGCTTTACAAATAGGAAAAGGAATCACAAAAAGAACTTGGCTCAACTTGAAAAAATAAAAGAATATATTTTACAAAATGTTCAACTGAAATGTTCAATTCTGAAATTTGAATGATGAGGATCGAAAGCCTAGTAGTAGACGGTGCACGTATCTTCCGATCGTAAGATGCATAATATCTTAAGGAAAAAACTTGAACCGGACAAAGCCAGGTAATGCCCAATAAAACAATTGTCATAAGTTTTGGTAGTCGGGTGTTAAATTGTGTGTATGTTGCAGGGCAAACGTCATCCCGTCACACACACGACCCACCACTCGCACAACAATTCACCCCTATCCTTAGGACACACACACACACACACACACACACACACACACACACACACACACACACACAGTCAACGCGACGCGCTGCCAATTAACGTAATTAAATGATGCGTACATAGTCGAGCATAGCAAACACTTGGCTGCTCCTCCAGCCCGCACCCAGCGGCGGGTGTGTATGTGTGTGTGTGTGGCACATCCTTTGCTTAATTAATTTGGGACATGACACACAGTTTCTCTTGCATTTCTCGTTTATGTGGTTGCTATCTCATTTAATGTTTTAATTGCGAGCTGGGCCCACTTTGGCAGCCCGCCATGGCAACATCGGGGAACCAATCAACAATAGCTCCAACAATGCCAACAATGCCAGCAAATGCCATCGTATCGCCTGATTATGTCACAGGATATTTGGAAGCCGCACAACGACGCCCGGGCAGGAATCCAACAAAAGCAAAGCCCAATGCAAATAGGCAAATATGTAAGTGTGTCATTGGGCAGCCATAACTGTCATCGACTAAACAAAATGAATGCTCGGCTAGAGCTCTGGCATCAGCCTGGCCAGGACAACGCTGCGTATACGCAACGTGGTCTCATATATTGCCAACACTTTAGTGAATTTCCCAGCGGAGCTGCGTCAGCTCTTGTCCACTCCCCCCACCATCCACAGGTGTGTGTAAGTGTGAGTGTGTGTGTGCGTAGGAAATTTGCTTATTTGTCCAAGTTTTATTTTCATTTTGCATGACCAAAAATTATGCTAATCCTGGCATTTTGTTTGGCCTCGCAGGATTCGTCTGTGCATTTAGAGCCAAAATTATATGGCATTGAGTGGAGCAGTAGCTCGGCTTGGAGCTACATTTAATTACCGTCATTTGCCGGGTGATGCCTTCGCTGTGGTCATTAGGGGCGCAGCGTCTCCAATTTGCAGCTCTCTGCAGCACCGCCACGTGGCACATTACATACTATTTTATATGCCACGCACTAATTAAACTAATTAAGGCAATTTGGCGTTATTGAAAGCCCGAGTCAAGTCCAATTGCGAGCTGGCAGGTGACAGCAGACACAAGCTCGCGCTGAAGATTTGTAAGAATCAATCCCTGCGACTCTTCCTTAAGACTTCGCTTTTGATAGACGATCTTGTATAGCCTGTTTTGGGGCACAATCTATCAACCGATTCGGAACTGTCGCAGAACACAACACAACTTGGCACAGGGTCAACAACTCCAACAAGGTTGAAAGGAACTCCAACTCCTCAGCCGATTCGGCACCAAAGTGCCGCAAAATATGCAAAACAAACGAAATAAATTCAAATGCGTTTTGCTGGCTACTCGTAAATGTATGCCAACTAAAATTAATTACAGGCAATAACGTCATTCCTGTCCGGCTGTGCTTTTTGCGGGATCCTGCAGAGACAAACGCCTGTACGAGAGAGCGAGAGAGACAGAGAGAGCGAGCGAATTGGGAGACATTTATGGGCTCGACGCTGCCAAAAACAATCGGACCTGAATTTGAGGAAACCGACCAGCGACCGGGCGACAGAATCAAGCTGAATTACGAGCTACGCCAAATAGAAATAAATGCGACATACTTTTAGGCGCCACGACCAGAAGCCAGCAAAACAATTGCGTGTATTTGGGCGATTAACATGATATGCGGAAATTTCTGTACTGCAACAAAGCACTCATACACACACACACACACACACACACACACACACACACACAGACACACACACATATACACACAGGCATACACACACAATAAATGCAAATACTTAAATGGCAGATCAAGGCGCATGCGTCGGGCCAGCCGTGAGGGCAGGTGCTAGTACAGTGTCTACTCGTACTGTATGAACAATGAAAACATTGTTTCTTTTTTTTGCGAATAAAAATTATATTGCACATGCCAACAGTGCGTGTGTGTGTGTGTGGGTGTGTATCTGGAAACTCAGTTGTTGAAGGGAGTCGAGAGACTTCGTGCCTGGACACGGGACGGCATATCATTCAGTCGCCTTAGCTCTTAGGGGCTGCCAAGTTGGCACAGGAACTGAGTGCTTACTAAACCAGTGGGTGTGAAAATTTAAAAACAAATTATAACAAATTACAGTACATTTTGTGAAAAGACTAACGCTGCTATAGAATAATTCTTCAGAAGAAGGCAGAGAACAGAATGCTGGTCATAATCTGAAAAATTCTAGCATACTTTTCAGAGTATTCCAATGTTGCCCTGAATATTATTAAATTGTGTTGTGGTACACAAAACAATACGCATTTAGAGTGAACTTTTTTCAGCTTTTTTAACATTCTGCCTTGTATATGCAAATATTATGACAAATTCTTAGCAAATTGCTGCCAAATGATGCCACGTTCTGTCAAGACAACAATGCACAGAGCCCAAATTTAAATTGTGAAAATCCAAGGCAGCTTAAAAAACAATGAAAACATAAAACACCCGCAACTAAAACTGAAACAACCAAAAGAACAACTGAAAATTTGTGCTCTAACGAAATATCAAAACTAATCTACGATAATAAATTTTCGAGCAAACAACACAAAGAATTATCCGCGAAAAAAAAAATAAAAAAATATGTGTGCCTGACAGAAGAAAAAAAAAGATTTTCGAAATGAAAACATTTTGGACGCATCTCATGAATTCGAGAAGTGGCGCAAATATTAAGAAATACTGCGAGCGTTTCCTGGTTCTATAAAATTCCAGTTTACGAGCAGAGTATTTTTACCTCTGGCATGTTTGAGGTGAGTAAAGCTTTTATAAATAAATTAAGCACTTTGTAAAACAGCGACATTTTCTGTGTTCTGCATTTTGATTTTCCACCCGTTAATGTGAAAATGTGGGCGTTGCTTCTAGTCGTGCGCTACGTATTGCATTTTCTCTAAAGAACGTTTGTTTTTCTATTTATTTTTTAAATTTGATTTCTTAAGTGCTTCAAGATTTATTATTATGTTGCAAAGAGCAGCAGCAATTAAAATGTTGAATAAAATCTCAACAACTAAAATTAAAAAGAAAACAAAGATGCCAAAAAACATAACTACTTGTGGTTTGTCGTATACGCCAGCAGGTGAGGGCAAATTAAATGTCTAATGTCAGCCATCGAGGCATTATGCAATTTTATGAACCATATAAAATTAATTGGCCTGCCTGCCCAGGCAAAACTATGCCCGCAGTTGGGCAGCGATCATATATCATGAGTTTTATGAATTTTAACGGCAATTTCCTAACAAAATTATCGCGACTCCATTTGCTCGAACGTATAGCAGTCATCGTTGGTTCACTGGGAATCACAACTGGAATCCACTGGCCACAAAACGAACTCTGTGTTAACTAACTAAGAGCGACAGTATATAATCTCATTAGCTCTATCTAAGCCGCATCTTTGGGGCTAATCAAGCGAGTGGGGGAAACAGCTGTTGTAATTTGAATGGCCAGGCCCAGGCCCAGGCACGAACCGGTTAATCTCGCACCAGAGTCAGGTGTCTTTTTGGAAAGAATGCATGAACAAAATAATTTTACATAAAAAGCAAATCAACTGCTAAAAAATAATAAAAGCCGAAAAACAACAGTCCCAGCCACACTCACACACACACACACATGTGCAACAACAAATACTAATCAATAAATTAAGTCAACAAAAGTGACCACGAGAGCGGCCAGCAATAAAGACAACTACTATGGAGGCGATTTGGGTCGGGGAGCGGGCGATCGGGCGATCGGTAGATCGGGCGGAACAGCTCTACAAATCAGAACAGGTTTTTCTAACAGCACGCAGACAATGAAAATTAAACCTCAATTTAGATTCAACGGTCCGAATTCGTTCGCTCGATTCGAATTCAGATTCATCTGCGATCTGCCCAGTCTCTGCCCCTTTGGCTTCATTTGTAGCGACAAATTTACATTCCGGTATGCCGGATCGACGGCACCTTCTCCTTCTCCTTCTCCTTCTACTGCTCCTCGCCTTGATTTCACCTGCATTTGTATCGCCGATAAAGTTGGCTTACTTAATTTATTCTAATTGCTTAACGCTGCTTCGACACTGATTTCAAGTTGGACAACACAGCTGCAGCCACCGTAGCCATTGGCCTGGTTTAGCCAACCTGGGCACAATATATAGTCAAAAAGTCATACACAAAAAGTTTTCTTGTAACTATAATTGGAAAAGCTTAAATTAACTCTAAATGCTGCAAAGCAAATAGAAGCTCAAATAATAAATAATGACCATATATGTTATGCTCAAGTTTGATAAATGATATTTTTGCTGTAAATCTTACCTGTGGGTCCAGTCCAAACCCTTTTATTGAAGATAAGGGTTCTATGAACCTGACATTCAGTTAGAAAATATTATATCCATATAAGAGTTGCTACATGGTAAGCTGTTGAAGCCTTTTCGGTATCCATATCCATCATCAAGGCTGCAAATCGGCTTGGCAACGAACCGGCTTAGGTCCGGACACCTTCAACTGTAATCCGGAAGAAAGATTACTTAAATTATCTTGTGTACATTTTCGTTTTGAAAAATATGTTAGTTTTTGTTAGCAAAGTCAACCATTTTTTTTTACAAGCTTAGATGAATAAGTATATAGGCAACAGTTACCCCACCCTCTGGATGTCCCCTTTTATAATCAGTCGGATGGAAACAAATTCTAAGGCAGACCCAATCACTCGGCCAACTGTGCATTGGGATTCCGATATTAACCTTTTAAGGTTTAATAATTGGAAGAATAGATTTAGATTAGTTGCGCGAGCTGCAGAGTATTCGTAAATAACGTACTTTGTGCTCATATTCAAATTTTGAAATTCAATTTACATACTTTGTGTCCAATTACGTAGTCCCAAAATGTAAATTAATGCATTTAAATTCCGTTGCGTTCGATTTTAGGTGATCGAGCTAAGCCATTCTTACGCAGACATACATTTATATATATATATATATATATATATAGACATATATAGAAAAATAAACGGAACCGATCTAGCTATGTGTCTGTGTGTGTGTGTGTGGACTGAATCTGGGGTAAATACATAAAATGAATTCAAATGGGCGCGTGTGCGGCAACTAATCAAGTCTTGTATTCTTTGACCACGCTGAGGTATCAACAATTTGAATTGATGTAAAGTCAAATTTATGGCCATACTCGAAAATATTTCATGAATTTATTGGCTTGCCAGGAATGCGAGCCGAGGCGCAGGCGCAGGCGCACGTGCTGTGGCATTTGTGGGCCCAATATTAATTGTTATGACGAAAGGAGTTAACAGACACTCTGTGTCTGTGTTGGGGTCTGTGCTAAGCCAGCTTTGCTGGTAAATTATTATGACTTTCACGCCCCTGGCAATGCTTGCAACGTCACAGACAAGCAAACACATAGAAGAGTGATTAATAACCAGCATGAAGTAAATATTCTTTTGGCTCATAGACACGCTGTGTTAAGTGGATACACAACTGGATTGTTTTACTCTCTTCGAAACTGTTATAGACATCTGCCAGATATTATGGGTATTGTTATTATTGAATGCCAGCAGACAAGTTAGCCGAAAGCAGAAGCCAATGAACCGCAGACGGCATCGATTGGTTGACAGCTGCAGATACAGATACTTTTGTCTGTATCTATAACTGTCAATAGTTGTTGTTGTTGTTGTTGCTGCTGCTGTTGTTATTGTTGTTATTGTTGCTATTGTTGCTATTGTTGTTATTGTTGTGCGCGACCGTTGTTGCTTATGCTTATTATGACAACACTCAATTGCTCATGTGACGCCTGAAAGTCGAGCAGCCGCCGCATGTATCTCAGTATCTCTCAGTATCTATGTACCTAAATAAGTATCTATTATGAGCATGTGTATCTATGCCACTCAGTTTGCCGGCCATTGTGAAAGTGAAAACCCACAAGTGTACACATTTGCTGCCCCCAGCCAAAGTTATTATGAGTTACACATAATTGAGTTAGCTAACTACTGTCATGAGTACGATACACAAATAAATACATAACTGTCGGTACGAGTACGTGTTAAATTTGGAAAGTTTGACCGCCATAAATCATATAGATCTAATAGTTACACGCTTATGACCATCTTGCCGGGCATGGGCCATTAAACTCATATACTGATTGACGTATCATCATATATGACAATTGGTGATAATGGGCTTAATCAATTTGACAATTAGCACAAACATTTCTATTGCCGATAAAATGCGAGACTTTCTTTCAAAGAAATACCCCTTTCGACCTCAATCGTCGGCCGTTACAAATTCAAAATAACTGAAACGAATTCAGGTAATGCTCTCTGCCTTTAATAAGCGGCAAACGGTTTCAGCTCTAGAATACAAATTGTACTAAGTAGAAAACCTTTCTACATTCCCAATCCCAGTTCCAATTCCAATTCCAATTTTAGGTCCCAATTCGGTCTTTGCACCGGTTACGCATACTCGATTCTCTATATGCAATGGGATTTTCTATAAACTAATGTGCATTTTATGGTGCACATTTGGTTCAGTTTTATGGCACTGCAATTGCATTGAATTGAATTTTAATTGTGCACAAAAATAGCTGGCCAAGTCGATGTAATAAAATAATATAAAGCAAGCATTCGACACGCATATAGAACACCTTGGACTGGGCAGGCAACGCATAGAATCGATTACAAATTCCACTCATTTACCATAAACACAATGCACCACGCTGTATAATAGATAAAGGTAGCCCCCAGCTCCGATATGTCCCATGTTTTGCCTGTCTTCATTTCTTTATGTTAAACGCCTAGATTTGTATTCAGAAACTGACCAAGTGGGTCTGCATACGCAATTGAAATCAGGAGGTGAGGCGCATGGAAATGATTTGTCAGCCGTTGGACACCCATTTTACATTGGACTGAAGCACTTATTGTGTTCCCTGCAGTTCTCATTCATCGATTTAAAATTAGACACTATACACTATAGTCTGCAAAACACTAAGTCAGCAAATTGATTTGGAACCATGATCTTAACAATAATCAAGGCATGACATTTGGTTTTATGCGCATATTGGTAAACGAATATGCCCAACATGCAAGTGTAGGGTACAGTACACAAAAAGTAAGTGAATGTACGGATACAACAATGAATTCTGTTTTCAGTTTTGAAATGAATTCTAAATACTGGGCCGTGGCATACACACGCTAAATAATTTATATGGCCAGGGAAACACACACTCAACTCGGCAAGCCGTGGAATAGTTTAATGAAATGTGATTTAACCCAAAAAAAAAAAAATGATATATAGTATAGATAACGCTTACAATAAATAATAATTACAATAAATAATAATAACGCCCGTGGAATGGGTAAATAAATCATAACCCCATTCATTTTGTATTTGTTGGTAATGCCACAAATGGTTGCATTGCATTGTTGTTTGCTTTCTCATTGTGGCAATAAGGTTCTGTGGTAGCTCGGCTGACTTGGCTGACTTTTTTGTATGCCTTCGTTATGTGGCCTAAAATACGGAAAATGGGAAAAAGCATTTTTGTGCATTTGCCAACAAGAGAAACTGAAATCAGTGAAATTACGTTGAAAACGAATCACATTTCAAAATTGACACTTCAAACGCAACGCTGCCAAGTTTTTTAAGAAACCCGCAGAACGGACTACATTTCAGGCAGAGACGGCTCCCAAAATACTAGATATGTATGCACAACCGACATGAAATGAACCCAACCCAACTCGCAAGCATTTCATTTTGGCCTTTTGCTCGAGCAAACGGAATCAAGAAAGACCCAAACAATTAACAGCAGATAAGCGGGAAAGTCATTTGACGTCCCATTGTTGTCGCTGCTGCTGCTGCTGCTGCTGCTGCTCCTGTTGTTGTTGTGGCTGTTGTTGTTCTTATTGAGATTGTTGTTGTCGAACTACTTAAATATTTTAGTTTTGAGAAAAATCAAAGCAGCGACTGGCAGTCAGCACGGCTAGTTCAATGACCAACGGCCCGGGTCGCTTTCAGCTTTCATCAATGGTCGCGCTAGATTGGCCGCAAGGCGACGACGACGCGTCGGCGACGCTCTGCTAGATATCAGCTCGAAGAACAGATACAGATACAGATACAGCTACAGATACAGATTGAGATTGAGATGCATGTATATGTGCATACGTGTGTAGGCACTCACATGCTCATCAGCTGCATCGCTTGACGTTTTTCTATGGCTTGCCAGAGAAGAAGCCGGCAATCGACAATCGGCAGCCGCAGCAGAAAAATGTCACACGCAGCCGCCGCATTTAGTTCAATTACATTACAAAAGGCACACACACACACGCATACAGCTATAGATGCAAATACAAATACAGATGCAGATAGAGATACTTAGAGATACACTTTTAAAAAGAGCATGACAAAACAAACCAAATGCGTCCGTCGCCCCGCGATTCAGCAATTTTTACCGCTGACATTCTATTGAAAAGTATTTGGGAATTGTAACGAAGCGTCAGCATGTATCTGTATCTGTATCTGTATCTCTATCTGGGCGCACATATTTGCAAATACATCCGTGCATTGATTGCCGATGCCCGCAGCGTCATCAGCCAACTGTAAATACCATTCGGCTTGAGTCATTTACTTGCGACTTGTCTCTCGTAAATGACTATTTGTAGCCACAAGTATTCACTCACCGAATCATAGTTTGCCAACCGTAGCTAACTGATTTATATAAAAATGGCCTACGAATTAGAAGCTTTCCAATTAAATGCCCACTCGACTTATTAGGCGTAATTTCTTGTTGCTTCACCGACTTTTTATGGTGTTTCTGTATTATTTTTATCTACTACAAAAACATATAAGTCTTATTAATAGATTCCTACAGAAATAAGCTTACTTTCTGCACAGAACTGAGCACAGAGACGAGTTGTTGCAAAAGTCTACCGCAAATAAGAACAATTTGTAATGTTCGGTTTTCAACGTGACGTCAAAATAAGACGTCGGACTATCAGGCGGAAGAATGCCAGTTCTTTTACCAACCCAATCACCAGCCCAAGCAAAAGTTGCTCAAACTCCCTTCGTCAGGGAGGTCGAAACTTCTGTTGAAGAAGACCTGATCTGTGCTGAGAAGACAAAGCTTTTGCCCAGATTCTTAGTCCTATCCTATAGTAATAAATTCTTGTATATAAGTAATGAAAACAATTATAAAGCTGCATGACTCAAGCATTAGTCATGATTTAAACAAATTTCAAAATACAAATTTATTGTCTCTTATATAAATATAATATATGTAATGGATCGCTCGCACAGTATCTAAGGTCGGGTGATTGCAAGGGGCAGGGAGTTGCACACATACATATGCAGTAAGTGAATGTGTATGTATTTAACATATGCAACATTTAATTTGAATTTGCCAGTACGGCGGTTTTTTACTCGGTTTTGTTCGCAGCGGAAGTTGTGGCAAAAGTTCAAAAAATGCATATAAAATACGAATGTGATTACAAACGCGATTGCGAATACAGAAACCGTTCGTAATGCTGACTGCAAGCTTTAATGAATAGCAAAATGAATTGGCACAATCGAAATGCTTCATTAGTTTTGAGCCAGGCTGAAGTTGCGCGCATCCAATCCAATCAGCTGTTGGGACAAAGTCCTGGCCCGGCACCTTCCGGTTTTCTAGGCCGGGCCAAACACCTGCAAGCCCGTCTGGCGAGTGTGTGTCAGGCGTGTATTAATTTTATTACATACATGCACTAATGTGTGTGTATGTACTGTGCAACAAGTTGCAGTTGCTGTTGTCTTGACTACCTTTCCAGCGGATATTATCACCTTTCAAGCAAAGTATGTAACGCACTGAATAAATCAATAGCAAAATCAGATCTCACAACTATATCATTTCACTATGTTCGTCATACTTATAGGCCAAGGCTGCACACTATCTTATGACCGAACCGGTTTGAAGCTGTAACTCAAATTTAGCTATTTATTTATATTTATAACAGCCAAACTTATACCTGAACCGAACCATATAATTTCATGTGGAAACCAGGTGCGGAACACAACCCTAGAGTATGGAGTCGATTCACTCATCGTAGCCAATTTCAACTATCTTTTTATCATATATCTGACATATGTTATTAATCCTTAGTTGATCTGCAAGGGTATTCAATGTTCATATGCCCAAAGTTTGTTTTTTTTTTTTTTCTTCTTGTTTAATATGCAGATTGTGTCGCTGACTTTAATACTTTGCAACATCGTCGATCATTTATTTCGTTGGCTGGTCTGTCTCCCCATCTCTCAGTCCGCCTTGCTGTCTATCTGAGTGGCTGCCCGGCTGGTGGCATGCAACGTTGGCGCGTTGCAGAAAAGCATGTCGTACAAGCGTTGTCGTCTTGTAAACCAGCAACACAGGCAACATGCAACAACTGCAGCAGTTGCCGCAACTGGGCAAGGTGGTGAAGAGAATAACGCCGTTTCCTTCCACAATTTCCATGGCAACAATTTTAATTAAAAAAAAAAAAAAATAATATAAAATAAAATAAAAAAAAAATAATCACAAAAAATATGCCATGCAGCAAATAAATTGCATACAATAAAAACAAAACTGTGAAATAAAATTAATAAAAGCCAACATAAATATACGAGTTTCGGCAGTAGAGAGTTAAATACCCTTTCCAATTTTTTTTTAAATGAATATATATAATAATATATAATGAAGCAAAGAACTATACAGAACTAATATAAAGAAAGAAGAAATCAAAAATAGCATAAGGTTTTAATCCAAGATTAAATTTTTCACACCAAAATAAATATACCCCGAAATGATAGCTTTCCCCATTTAATACAAAATCTGAAATGCTTTCATACTAGAAATTACATAGTTTACTTGAAAACGAATGTATCTAAGATTCAATTTTTACCTTATGCTGCTGGCGGAGTCCATGGGACTCATTGGCTGGCTTGTGCTGGCGCTGAGTGGGCCGAAACCAATTGTTGGCTATCGATAGTTAATCGCAGATACAATGACTGGGCTTGCTGATAAGTCATTTTTCAACAAGTGACCAATGACTTTTAGAATTGCAATTAGCAATATCGTAAATAGTTTATCTATTTATGTTTCAGATATTTTTTGATTGGCATAACACCAGCAAACACTACAACTGCTGCCTATGCTAACAACTACAAGCTAATTTTTATAAGAGATTTATCTTGAATTTATAATCGACTTAATTGATCGCTTATAGGAAATATATAATTGATTAACTAACTAAGCAATTGCACATCTCTAGGAAGGCCCGTTTAGTCGCTTAGCGTGTGTATCTGTGTGTCATGTTCGTCCATGTGTGTGTGTGTGTGTTTTGTCGAGTTTGAATTACGTTTTACAGGAATTTACAGATTGCGAACATTAATTTTCATGCATTGTACTGGGCAGATGTGTTCTCCGCTCTTGACTGAGGCTTTCATAGCTATGGTATGTAGTTTTATACCCTGTATCCAATTGAAGATGGGTATAAAATATTGCAGTTGTGCAAATGTTTGTAACAGGCATAAGGCGGAACTGTTTGTACACATTCATATTATTGGTCACGTCTTGGTTAGGCGCCACGTTTGATATCACAGTATACCAAAGGCAAATACAGATTTATTCAAGTTTGAAAAATATTTAATCCTTTTACAAAAAGATTGCTTGCATTGCCTTCGTTCGTGGTTTGACGCTTGCAATTCTCAACAAGTTAAAAGATAATTGCAATCGTTGTGCTTATAGCAAAGGCTGGTTTACCTGTTGGTTTTATGGTTATTTCCTGTGTGAAAAATCTACGAATTTTTTCGAGCTGCCCAGATGAATATTATAATTAAATCAATAAAGCTAGCTTAACCATTAATAAATATTTATCTGTAAACAAATTAATGCACTTTATCCGCAGCAAAGTGGAATTTTTCTCTGTGCGAACTTCATCTGGCTGTGGTATGCTAAGCTTATGTATGGGGCGTGGTCGGAAATCATGGCAACAGATGTATTTTACATACATATATGAAACATGTTTGTACATGCATGCATCTGCATGTGTGTACATGTACGTGTGTGTTTGTGTGTTTGTGTGTGTGCGACTCTCTGTTGTGTACTGTGGCTTCCTCTTATCGTTAAGTGCGGGTTCAAATGTTGATAACCCATGACAACTGAAGCCGTCAGCACACATTTACATACATAATTTCAACGAGCCCAAAATCCAAATACCCAAATGGGAAAATCGTTTAAAAATGCAAATGCCGCCACATCGACCAAATAGTATTCAAATCAGTCCATGGTTCGTTGTCGTTTCCTGGCGCTGCATTTGTCAAACGCTGCGGAATAAATGAACCGCAACGACAATGCCGATTTGTATCTCATGGATACTGCAGCAATAACAATAACAACAACAACAACAACAACAACAACAACAGCAGCAGCAACAACAACTATAACTATACATAAGTACAAAGCATATTTAGTGCGGACCTTAGCACGCGTGAAATATTTTCACATGGCACTTAATTTATTTGCAGGGCTTGGCCTCAGCCCCAGCCCCAGCCGCAGCGCCAGCTCGTTTTCCAGGTGTGAGCGACCCACGTGGCCGCAGCTCGAGCTGAAACTGGGCAACTGGTCAACTTGTGTTGGGCTGCATAGTGTTGTGCGATGCAGTCGCTGTCCATAAATCTCGGCTTTTGTGCACCAGCCACGTTCGTTAGTGACGCTTTTTTTTCGCGATTTGCCAATATTTGACAGGGGTATCTCAATAGCCCCGCCGAGATTTACCAACATTTATCTATGGCCAAGGCCCGCAAAGATATCGTTCTGTCCAATTCAATTGTGGCGTCGCGTCGTGCAGGCATGCGCCCAGAATTAATGGCATATCCCTAGGGTTCGATTAAAATTCTATCAATATAGCACATTGGAAATGGGTTAGGTCTCTGTATTCGTGCTGTTATTCGAAACGTTCGATCGCAATACGGACTTTAGCTGAAAAAACAATCAAATGATTCGCGAGACAAATCAATTTGATGTAAACAAATATGAAACCACAGCACATTTATCCCATTATACAAACAATGTTCTTGTAATTTGATATTGCACCAATGCAGTAACTTTTAGTTATAATTTGCTAATCGCAGTAATTTAAAGAAACCTTAAACATTATTATCAGAAAACTAATATGCTGTTGTTAATAGGCAGATGAAAGCGCTCGCTGAATTAAATTATCCAATGATTTTATTTACTGCATGCGTTTACTTTTGCCTGTGTCTAACCATAAACAAATAAATTCTTTTGTTTACAAATGATATTCTATTCGAAAATGTTAAAGTACTCGAGCCGTGTTTTCATTATTTGATAGCTCGACACGTATAAGCGCAGTTACCACGTGTGCGCCGTCAATCATTCGGAAATAGAGTGTGAGTTGGCCCTGCTATATATATATATATGAATGTTCGGCCATATCCACTCTATATATACTCATATATATCCATATATTATTGCCTATATAGTGCCGTTCAAATAAGTAGTATGTCACTTTAAAACCATCGCAACCTTATTTACTCAGCGGCCAGCAAACAATTGTCGCTGTAATCAATTTCAAAGCTGTCACTTTGACACTTGAACGTTTATTCTCCACTTCTGCACCCCACATATATGTATATAGATATACCATATACGCACACATACGTACATTATACATGTCTATACATATATATAGCCTACACTTTGTCAAATGCCGTAGACAATACGTCTGTGGCCCATTTAAAAATGTCCAGAGTGTGTGTGTGTGTGTGTGTGTGTACTTATTGTATTATGTATTTATCATAAAAACCATTTTATCGCCTCCAACTTGGTTTGCTCCTCCCGTTAGAGCAAATATTTGTTCATTTGTTTGTTTGTCTGTTTGTTTGTTTGTTTGTCGCCTGTTCGAGTATTTGTATGCACTTTGTAGGTGGCTCTCATTTGTGCTGTCAGCATGGTTATCATATTCGGTGGCACTTTCTGGATACGTTGTTCTATGTTGGCCGACACGGCACCTAGAACAAAAGACGCATTATTCAAGTTGTCAACCTGAAGGTATTAGTTGGCCTTGCCTCTGCCCCGGTCCGGGCCAGTTCAAATATTCAACAGGAAATGAACTAGGGTCGGCACCTCGGAAAACTTTTGTTTTTAATGCTGCCGAATACGTTTCAAAAATGTAATACTCAATCTATATCAAAAAGAGTTTGTCTTAACTGAATGACTGAACGGTGGTACAAGCCACTAAAGCTATGAAGCTGAAATGGTCATATTTTAACGAAAGGCATCAAAAGAGCGTAGCTGTAGTTGTGTAGGTGCATCAGCGTCGGACCAAGAAGCGAGAGGTCGAGGGTTCAATTCAAGTAGTAATTGTATATTTATTTACTTGTCTATTTAATGTATTGTTCATCACAAAGTGAAGAGCATTTATAATAAATAAAAACCAATATAGAAATGATAATAATTAGGGAGTCAAACAAAATTGACAATTTTTAATGCTGTCATTTGTATGTTTCGGCAGACTCAAATCACTCGATTGTGAGCAACGAGATCAGTAATGAGTTTCTTAGCTAGAGTTTATTTAGCTTGTTGATGGGGCCGCATCGGGGATTTGTTGGAACTACTCAATGTAAATGACCATCAGGGCAAGATCTTTGATATTTACCATTTATAATTGATAAATAATAAACTGCGTGTAGGCTTGAGAATAAATGAAATAGTTTCATTCAATAGTCTTAACGTGCACCCATAAGTTGGTGAACAATAAAAATGTCCGCTTTGAAGCTCTACACTAATCAGTCAGAAGTTATGCTACTATCATTGTACTTGTACTTGTATATAAAACAAAAATTTGTTTGAGTTTAGTTTTTTAGTTTTTGTTTTTTTTTTTTTTCTGGAAAAAAAGCGCTGATAAATACATTTTGATGTGTGTGGATCACAAGTTCAAGTTCTGGTTCGCCACCAGATATCATTGGGTTTTATTATGAGAAACATTAAAAAAAAAAAAAAAAAAAAATGAAGCCGAAAGCCCCTGTGCGCTCATATTATATATCCGTTTGAGTTGCGACCGATCCGCTCCATATCCAATAACCGTGCCTCAAAGCTTTTGTTATTTATTATCGCCTGGGCAAAATTGTTGGAACTGCGGCTTCTACTGGCGCTCGAAGTCTTACTGTTACTGTTACTGGTATGGGCTCTGGGGCTGTGGCCCAATGTCTAATCCCCCTGATGACTCAATTGGCGCACAATGGGCAACTTTCAAGTGAAGGAATTAAACTCAAAATATCAGATCATATTCCCCCCATGCAGATACACACACATACAGATACACACGCACACACAACACTCGCCCATTCATTCAGTAATTCTAGGCAGAACCAGCTGATCCAAGCAGTTTTTTTACAACTCATATAGAAATATACCATATATGACAAATGGATCACATAACCGACTGCCGTCACTTGATGGTCATTGTGTGTGCCCCGATACTTTTATTTGATTATATTTTATTTTATTTTATTTTATTTTTTTTATCTTTTTTGCTTGTCTGCGAATGTGGTGGGAAAATTTGGGTTGCGGCCGTTGGAATGCCGATTTATTTTATGCAAGCATAAGAAGCATTTTTATATTTCATTTTTGAATTTATTGCGGAAGTTGCAGCTCGTTTTGCGCGCACGTCGAAATTCTTAGTGAAGTTCTGGTATTTCTTAAGTACATGAAACAAATTTGAAATTCTCCTAATGCTCGCTAGCCCTTAGCCAGGCTTTTCCAAAGAAAGCAGCAGCTGCCCAGGGAGCATCACTCTTCAGTTTCCGACCTTTCTAACTTTGGCGCAACTAATGCTTACAATAGATACGTGTTTGATGCTATTCTTGATTATCTACTCTTATCTTAATAGCATCTTCAACACACACACACACACTCGCAGAGACTGACAAGTTGACGGAGACAGCTTGTAAATACGAGTACGCTGAAATTATAATTAACTAAATAAAATTATGATGGATGAATATACGACGGACGGCGTTAATTGCATACTCACGCAAAACAAGTTCCGAGATTTGCCAACTAAAACCATTTAACAAATTGAATTTGCATTTCAAACACGGTACAAGAGCATGTAAATATTTGCATGAGGGCGTCTCAGGAGTCTAAAAAACCATCGAACTTATTTAGCTAGTCAGCTGGCAATGCGAATGTCTAATTAATTGCAATAAACTGCAGTTTTCCCAACGTAGTCAGATTTCTTTTGTCGATTTGTAGATAGATAGTTATACTAGTGGATATTATTCGGCTCGCAAATGTGCGAAATTGTGATTATACTGTAGAGTTTTGAGTTTGAATCTTGTCAGGCGAAACCTTTCTCCAACAAATCATTATTAGGCAGCCAAGGAGTTGGGTGTTACGAAAAGTCTAAGGCATGTATCCCATAAAACTTTCTCAACCATTTTTGTATAACAAAATGAGAAAATCGAATCGATTGGTAAAGCGAAAACCGACGTAAAAAGTAGCGAGAACTACAGTAGAAATTGATCAGTCAGTCAGTCAGCGTTTTGTATACATTTATGGCTAGTGTATATTTTTGAAATGAATTAATGCACAATTAGTGAAAGTGTCTCTAAACAGTTTAAAATGTTCCGCAGTGGCTTGAACCACCCTAAGCTGCGGGCAGCAACAGATGGAAAAACTGCGGCATTGGCACGCATTCGAAAATGTGCGAGTGTCGTGTCAATTGAAATGCTTTTCAGAAAGCTAAAAGCAAATCGAACTGCACTGAAATGCATTTATAATGAGTTAATAAGCGCACACCTGTTGCCTTTGACGGCAGCGAATGCAACTAGCGAGGTAATTAAGAGATTTACCTGGCCCCAGGAACACGCCGAGAGTTGGGTCCAAGTGCATACCGAGAGCGAGTCACATAAATTGAAGTCTCTGGCTTTGCTATGCCTTGTTTTGCAATTTTAATTGCAAATCGCAGCAATTTGTAATTCTGCGCCAAGTAATTTATTTGCCATAAAAATTACATAGTGTTCGATTTGTGATCTGGCCAGATTGCATGATGATCAGGGGAATGCATCCATCGGGCGGCTACTCGATTTTCAAACTCAATTGGCGCCAACTTAACAACCGAGCACACGCGGCACAAGATGGGGAACCTTATGAATTATGCACGGCAGCTATTCGTAGATACGCGTGACTGATTGATTGCATTTGGGGAGCGTCTCGCTTTCAGTTTAGTAGAGTAATCAAATTAATTGATATAGAAATGGGTAAGTATGTTAGCTCGGCCAACGGCTCGCACACAAAGTTGCAATTTTCAACGTCTGTTGGGATTCACCAACGGAAAACCAAAACAAAAGAAAATTAAATGAAAAAAATGATCCAACAAACGTTTCAGAGACATTTCAAATTTGTTTGCTGTCGAAAATATTACAATTTTCATTTGTAAGATTCTCGCACGCGCTCAGCGTGTAAGTATACAAAAACAAAAATGAAATAAAATTAAATAAAAATGACGAAAATAAATTCGCACCATCCGACAGATACAGCCACAGATGCAGCTATACAGCAGATACTTTTTAGGCACTTTTACTCAGCAAAATAAGAAAAAGAGATAACCGAAAGCATGAAAAAACGCCGTGGATTAAATACCCTTTCAGACATTTCTCTTATGCATACCCTTTACCTTAGACCGATTGTTCCTATGTCAGCAATATGCTATAGAAGTCCGATTTGATATGGTTTTGCAATTACTTTGAGAGAAAGGTGAACTATTCTTTGAGTTTGAGCAAAATTCCTTAGAATTCAAATAAGTGGTAAATGTGCTATATGCTTTAGTTCGTTCAAAATATATTTAAATTAATATTTACATATAATTCATAGACTGAACATCTACAAAGTTTTACAACGAAATTGGAGAGATTAATTTTCAAATTAAATTGTGCTACTAAAAAAAAAACTTAAAAAGAAAGATTCATAAGCCTGGGCTCAATGATGCAAAAACCCAGCTTCCAGGCCAAATAAAAAGGCTTGCACCCCTTTACTGTTACTGAACAACAATTTATATATATATTACAAGTCGTTACACACGTCGTGAGAAAGTGAGTTACCTTCTATCAGGGTATATTGAGAAACTGAAACAACAACATTAGCGCCTGGCTGGCGCAGATTTTCGGCTACAAACGTGTATTTTTGGCTAAACAAAAAATCCAACAAGTTTTCCGAATTATTTTTTCAACTCAAATAAGAACCGGTGTATTTGTTGTTGTTGTTGTTCTGTTTGTTGTTTCTTTTTGACATGAACAAAATAAAGTGCAAAGCATATAATTTTGAACTTGGCAGCAGACGAGATGAGAGGACAAGTTGTAATTGTTGGTATAGATAGATGGTTAGATGGATGGCTGTTAGAAGTCGACTAGCAGACGAAAAGTATCTGCAATTGCATTTGTATCTGTATCTGTATTTAGTAAATGTGGCACGGCTGCTGGCCATGGGGGTGGCGGGCGGCGGGTGGCGGCTGCGTCGGAGTTGGCGTCGCATTTGGCCAGACGAAATTGTTGGCTTTTGTTGTTCTTGGGGGCTGACCAGCCACGTCACCATCAGCCATCAGCCATTACCCAGCCGGGCCTCGTCGCCGTCGCCGTCGTTGTCGTTGTCGTTGCCGTTGTAGTCGTCATCCATATGGCAAACTATTTTTAAATATGTTTTAATTATTTGCTGCCATATTCCTTAAAGCATTGACTAGTCGCCGCCGTTGCCGTCTGCTGCTCCTCTGCTGCGGCTCTGCTTGGCCACAAGTAATTTGGGCCGCCTGAGGCAACATGTGCAACTACTTTGGAGGTTTTTCAATTTGTTTTTGTTTCCCGTGTTTTTTTCTTTTCTGTTTATGTGTTTTCTTTTTTGCTGCTTACATATTTTTTTTTTTTTTTTTGCAAAATACATTAAGTGTGAAGTTTCTGCTATAGAAATATTATTGTCGCGTCTAGCATAAGTGTCGCAGCTTGCGTGTAATTTTGTATCTTTCAGTCAACCAGAGTACACAGTAGAACACAGCTTCAAAATTAAGGCCACAAGAATGTTGATCCAAAACATGCGTGGTATTTAACGACTGATGTAAAAATCAGAGCGATAAAACCAAAGAAATAAAGTTGCTGGTTCGATTCATGATTAGTTCCAATTTTAGTTTGGTTTGTGAATCATGTGCTACACGTGCCAAAAATGCTTTGGCTAGAATACTTTTAAACACCGGCCAATTTAATTGGTAAGAACATAAGCAAATACCCAAGGATAGGCCCCACTTAAACAATCAGATTTAGTCAAATTGATGGAAATGACCCCAATGAAATTGAAAATCATGTTGCAGAGTGTTGTTCTTGGACTTTTATAATGTGCATTGGATGCTGGCGATGGCATAGACGAAATTCGTTTCATTTCATGACATTTTTTTTTATATATACGCATATATATTTTGGTATAGCTATATCATTAAGAGCCTATATGGATGCAGCCGCGCCCAGGCTGTGTTCTGTAGCCATGGAGAACTCTAGAGCAAGGCAAACAACGGTCAGCCGCAATGCCGAGTAGCTGCTGTATCTGTATCTGTGTCTGCGTCTGTCGCTGTATGTGTGTGTGTGTGTGTGTGTCTGTGTCTGTCTGTGGCCTTTGTACAATACAAATTCTCTGTTTACTTAACTGGCAGCAGCCAAGTTTTAAGTCGCCCCTCTCAGTCTGCCCATATACCCTCTCCTCTCGCGCCAGTCCCTGCCGCTCCACTGGCTTCACGGAGCAAGTTGACTAAACAAACCGCCGACATGCTTATGCTCGCTTTACAGGCTTCTTCCCGGCAGTCAGCAGTCGGCAGTCAGCAATCGGCAGACGATGCCAATGAAGCGAGAAAAATTACTGTTTGTTGTATTGCGGGTTGTATAAGTAGTTGTGGATTTGTTAAGTGAGTTTGTCAACATGAGACGCGCGCATCGCACCAACAGATTCAAATAGAAATGCTGACGGAGATGGAGTTGGGAGTTGGCGCTGGAGCTGAAGTTGAAGTTGAAGTTGAAGATGGAAATATAGAGATACAAACAAGTATCGCGGCAAACCGTTAGAGAGACGACGTTACCTGGAAGCCACGCCGGCCGTCAGCCGCAAGACCAAGACCAAAAAGCCAAGCCCAAGACTCCAAGTTATCCAAGCTACCAATACAGCAACACTCCAAGAGACACCAAGCATTTTTCTGCTGAAGTCCAGTCGGTCTGTTGCCGTTGTTGTCGGCATGGGGGCTGTAATTGTAATTGAATGCCAAGCACTGGCATGGATGGTCACTAAGTATTGCTGCTGCTTAAGCCTTGGTTGTTTGTTTTAGGCCTTTGTCTAGGCGCACATTTATGGGTTGTTGTCTCCGCTAAAAACGGAACCGGACTCCAGAACTGAACGCCGCTTGTTTCCTTCAGCTGCAGCCTCTGGCTTTGCCTCTGCCTATGCCTCTGTCTCTGCCTCCGCTGAACATGGCAATGGCTACGGCAATGTCAGCAATTACTCATTTATGGCCAGTGCCAGTTCATTTTTCGCATTGGCTTCCACGTTTAGTTTTTGCCTGGTTATATCCCCTTCGAATTCTGAAGCCCTCCTCATTGATTTATGCATTGGTCGTTAGTGCGAGCGTTGTCCACCGCATTCATGCATAAATCGGACTCGGTTCGGAGTCGAAGGGGACCTTCTTCGGTCTTTGCTTTACGTTCTTGGGTGTCTTCGTCATGTTTTCTATTTATAAAGATTACTTGCAATTAAAATGAGTCCAACAGATCTCGGCACTAGTTTCAAATCATCCAGCAAGTTGTTATACTTGTTCTATATGTATTCACATATATACCGTATGTGTACCTACAAATGAATTCACATGCATACGACTATTTCTCTCTCACTCTCCTTCATACTTGTGTCTCTCTTTATCGTTCTCTCTTCGATTGCTGTTGGTTGTCAGTTGCCCGTTACCAGAGTTCAATTGCATTGATAGCCCCAGCGGCGTCAAATACTTGGCGCTCGTTCTTGTTGTTGCCCTGGAATCACCGAAGCTGAAGCTAGTACATAACTGGATTCCCGGTTGCCAACGGCAGCAACCTGTTGCTCTCCAAAAGACCCCGGGTCCGCTACGACGTAATACAAATCTTCCTAGAAACTTAGTTTCAGAGTAAAGCACAACTATTTGATACTCTTTGGGAGGAAACTTTCAAAATTACCTTTAATGCGAAAACTAATCAGAAAAATAATACGGATCATTAAAAGCTCAATCTCTCTGAAATATCAATTTAAGCATTATTCCATTTTGTGCTAGATAAATTAGAGCATTCCGGCTATTTTATTTGTCTAGCTCTGATGTCAAGCTGTATACCATTTACCAAAATCAAAAATTACTTAAGAGGTTTTTTTTTAAAAGTCATGCATTTCGAGCACTTGCTGTTCCCATTTAATAGCTATTTGAGCTGAGCTCGGAGCTGACCTGCTGATAAGCAGGTTTCCACTTAGATTCGATTATGGTCCGTCCAGATTTGTCTAAGTACGGTATTATGTTTGAACTCTGACCCATGCACAGCCACACACTGTCAGAACAGTGCTGTTTCGTCGCCTTATCAATCCTAGTTAGGTTCTTGTTGTTGTCATTCAGTCAAATGCACAAACACACACATGCATAGTTGATAAGCAAACTTAATTTTGTGTTTGTTGTCTCGTCGCTGGCCGCAATCGCACTACTAGAATTCTATTTTAATAGGGCATTAAAAATAAATATTTGTATTTGATTCCATGCATGTACACAATATGATATGTACGTATTTATATTGTGCCTGTGTGACAGATTATCAGTTTCGGTTTTAGCGTCAGCTTCATTTGAGTTTTAGTTTGTTTCGGTCGTTCCAACAGAATGTACTGCCCGAGCGACTTTTGGGGTTATCATGTTGATTATTTAATGCACGGCTGTTTGAGGCATTTTCTTTTCAAGACTTTGATTTTAATATGCCATATGACACAGTTTGACATGCAGTGGCTAACTTACGAGTACTAGTTTGTAATTACCCCGACTGTATGACTGTATGACTTTTTGATATACTTATCTGTCTGGCGTCTAAACTCTGACCCCGCTCAGACATTGTTCATGTTGCCAGCGCATGCATTTTTTCGAATAATCGAATTAGTTCTCGAACCCTAGCCCCAGCGCCAACACTTTGTGTTTCGAAAGGCGTATCAAAGATTAAATGTGCTGTTATATAATTAAAAATAAAATTTAGTGGGCTTACATCTTTTTATTTGTAGTTTCCTATACCAATAATTACGAAAAGTGATTATAAAATTTACTTGTTCATTTCAAGTAGAATTAATATGATGGTTTCTTAACGTTTCAGGCAAATCAAAATTTAGTTTTCAATTCAAATTTATATTTAACATCCACATTCCCCAGGAGGAGAGGAGCTTGTTTGAATCCCAGATAGCAGGTTAGCTTTTAATTATTTAAATTGAATGTTATTGGTGTTCCTAACAATATATATTTGATTATATATGTCCTATACACAATCTATTTGTTCTTTGTAATAGTTTGTCAGTCGGCTTTGGGCTGGCCGTAGATTTCTACTTCGGCTTCTTTCTCGCTTTTAGCATTTGCATCTAGCATAGCTCACATTTTTATAGCAATTCATGTCTATATCGCCTTTGTTTTTGCCCGTTTGCATTTTATTTATTTTTATTTTTATTCGTCTATGCAAGTCTTTTACTTTGTAGCTGTTGTTTTTGTTTTTTTGTCTTCGTATTTGTTTCTTTTTCACCGGCGTCGACGTCGTCGCCAAGTGAAACTGAAAATTGCAACTAAATGCCGTGCTCATCACTTGTAGACACTTTAGAATGCGCTATGTATCTATAAGATACAAAGATACGCGGACACTCAGACAAAGAGACAGACAGCGACCAGACAACAAATGAGACGCAAATGGAATGCTGAGGTGCTGCACACACACACACACACACACACGTATATATATATTTATATATATATATATATATATATATTTACTAAGTACACACTAACATACATGATATATACAATACGGAAAAGACAACTTTAAATGGTCGAGCCAGGGTAAGATCTATTCTAACACGTTTAAGACCCAACTCAGAATTTTATGCATAGGGATAAATGCCGTACCTTGTTCAACTTATTTAGTAGATTTGCAATTATATTATCATTTTAATTACAAGAATTTTAATTATAGTCATTACAAACTATGAATCTTATGAATAAACCCGGCTGCCAAGCTGGCCTGGGGCTAAGACTCAGCCTCATCCATGCACTAGCCATGAGGTGGCCTGAATGAATGGGTCACTCAGATAACTGGACTGCAGCTGTGATATGTTATTTATTGGATTGGCTAGGGCCCATTGCCTTGCCTTAACAGGCCACACCCTCTACACACTGCCAGCAACAATCGGGAAATTTGCCCTTGGTATTGACGAGATCAGTTTTGCAATTGGCAAAGCTCACCGGTTTCTGACAACTATGAGGGGACCTGATATTAAAGGATGATGTAGCCTTTTGGTAGAACTATTAAAACTTACAATTGATAGACGCCATTGCCATCTTTATCTAGGCACACAAATATTCCGCATGTTTTCTCATCTGGGACCTCTTCACCAACTTTAACCTCGCCTTTCGCAGTAATGCATCCGTTGACTATACGTAAGGGAGGGAGGTGAAAGTGATTACAACAAGAATATGAATATTCATCACATTCTTACCGCCCTTGCCCAAATGCACCATATGTACCAAGGCATTGGCACTGCAGACCAGCCCGAAGATAATAAAGTATATCTCACAGATATGTTTCATAATGATTCAGTCCGCACAATCAATGCAAAAATGCTTCTAACTGTGGCATATCCACTCGAGTTTTGCTTTTATAGCAGGGAAATCAATATTCGGCTACTCGTCTACGACTAGGAGTACGAGCAAACGTAATATGTACGGGCAAATATTGCACTGATTTTTGTATACACATATTCAAACTCTACATTTAATCATAAACAATTCCCTTGTGTCACTGGGCACCATCCCAGACTCCTCCAATCGTAACACGAATCGAATGTTTAGTTTATTTAGTGCTGGGGCTGTAAATAACGATTTTTTTTCTTCCTTATTTAATCAATAAACGTGTAAGACGTATGAGAAGACGAATTCTGCCAGGGTGCTATTTATTTGATCTAATTGTTTTCAAAGTCTTGAGTTTTCAGGATATTCTTCAGTGATTCATTTTGTATTAAGTGCAAACCACGTTGAACTTTTACATGTTAATATAAATAAAATAGGATCTTGATTTAGATTGGGTATTAATAAATACTTATGCTCTTTTACCATCTGAAAAGAGTATACGGCATAAAGTTTTTATATAATAGTTCGTCGCGAAACTAGAACTTCAATTTTACTATGAACCAAAAGCTAAATCAAACCAAATTGTTTTTTTTTTTTTATTGTTTTTTGTTACTGAAGACTCGACCCCAAAGTATTATTCTTTCGATAGCAATGGAATTAATGAATGAACCTAAGTCTTGGCTCAAGCATGTAGACAACCAGGTTCACGAATCGGGTAGTTGCTTAAGATCTGAGAGTTGCTTGGGAACATGAACTGAAACGCATATATATATATATATTATATTGGGGCTTTGCAGCCCTGATCAGTATATCATGTGCTGTCAGTTAAAAAGTATTTCAAAAGTATGTTGACACAACTCGGAATCCAATGCAAAGATGACAGTCTAAGCCATAACGAGATAAGCGCATATTTCTCTTTATTAAAAATAATATGAATAAGTAGTGCTAGGCTATGGTGGCTCGATTCTTCTGTTTGAGGGAATCGGAACGTTAAATTGACTGGAATTAAAATCAAAGCAACTTGGAGCACTTGCTCAGCACGTCAAGCACTCAATCTAAGCAACGTACTTCGTCGACTTATCCAGTGCGATGAGAAGCTTGTAATATTGTTCTCCATGCGAATACACAGTGCGTTCCTTTGTCTACTGCTCGCAATGTGTCTGCTGTCCTCAATCACGAACACCATTGGCTATCGACTCGTCAAGGTGAGTGGGGGATGGGGGTTATTTAAATCTTGGCGAATCTGATGCGTTCAACCCTTAGCGGCATCATCGAAAACGCATGGCGTGGCCTCAAAACCTTTACGCAGACTTTGCTGCTATCAATAGTGCAGCTGGAAGAGAAGTTGAAAACCAAAGCCCCTTGACGGATCCATCTGGAAACCGTGAAGGAGCCGCAGGTGGAGGGAATGAGGCTGGCGGATCAGGTTGCTCTGAATCAAATTCCGACAGACAATGTGATGTTAAAAAAATATTTACTCCCGGTGATCCCAAGCAAAAGTCCTCCAGCATAGCCATGAAGGCGGCACAGGATGCGAAGGCAGCTAACGAGGCGCAGCACGCAGCCGGCCAATTGGCTGCCCAGCACATCAAGCAGGAGCTGGCCGAAAAGGCATTCCAGTCAGCCAAGGCAGCCGAAGCGGCGCTCACCGGCAAGCAAATGGTTGTCCAGCAGTTGGAACAGGAAATGCAGGAGGCCAATGCTGTTGTGGAAGAGGAGACTGTCTCGCTCCAAAACACGGAGGCCAACATGAATGCCGCAATAGAGGCGGCACGGGCCGCCACGAGTCAGTTTGAGGCGCTCACCGCACTCCACAAGACGATCAAAGAGAATCTGAGCAACATTCAGACTGTGGCCATGGGCTCACAGCAGGAAATGACCGCCAAGGTGCAGCTGCTCGAGGCGGCCAGGAATCGTTTGGGGTCTCTGTCAAAGCAGCTTCACAGCGCACGCGAGGACTACGAAAAGACAAAACAGGCGGCATATAAAGCAGCCTGCGCTGCAGTCGAGGCCAAGCAAAAGGCCTCCGCCGGCACCTTCCGACAGCGACGCAGCCGAAGAACTCACAGCTACCTGCCACTCAATATCCATTCGATTATTTAGCCTACAATGCCATTATTTTATATTTTTTATGATATAATTAAAAGTTTAAATTTCAGATGTGAGATTAGCCCCTTTCAGATCAACAGCATCGTCTTAACTAATTCCAAACTCATTTTGCCACGTTTCTAAACCTATGTAAATATATGTCATATGAAAACGTATCCAGCTACTAAGCGGTTTATCCTGACTGGCAGATTTACTGATTGGCTGGTTAGCTAACTGACGGTTGGGCAACGCCGGGTAAAACCAACCTGCTACACGTGTAAATGGAGCCGGTAAAAAAAAATACTTAGTTTGTGATTACCGTACGATTAAATTCAATTAAAAATAAGAAATACATATTCAATGAATGGATTTTGATTTTTCTCAGAATTTAGCTGCGCTACATTTTTGTAAGAATTGGCCTGACAGGTGCAAGAACACGTGTCTAAAGGTACCCGAATCGCCTACAAGAATTTAAACTATAAAAGGCATTTTCACTATGCAGAAATTACAGTTTTAATTGCTGCATTCACTGTACAATTTGAGAGATCATGCAATACGTTTATCCCAAAGTTGTTATCCTGATTGGCTTTGCGTTTTGCATCAGCGCGTTAGTTCATTACCAAAAAATGGAGAAAGGAGGTAACCAACAAATATTTGAATTGGTCGAGATGCACTTATGTGTCAATGTGTTTAGCGAACGGGTGTAAAACCAAAAGCAGTAAAGCACCAGCGGCTGCAGGTGCTGCACCTGGAGCCGCTCCTGGTGCAGCTGCACCAGCAGGTGAAGCTGGTGCAGCTGGAGGAGATGCTGCAGCGCCGGCCGCAGGAGAAACTGCAGCATCTCGAACTGGGGCCAGTGAAGGAACGGAACTTCTAGTGGGTGGAGTTCTTAAAGATGAGAACACATGCGGAGTCTTCGTATGCCAAAATACAGAAGGCGACGCCCTGATTCATTAGTAAGTCGAAGTTGATAATGGTATATCTTCAGGACAGTTAGTTGATATCCTTTACCAATAGTTGTCAGAAACCAGCTCCTTTCGAAATGTGCAACGGCGATGGCGTTTCGACAGTGACTCCATTTCCTGAGTGCTGCTGGAAGTGCGTAACTTACGTCAGCTGTGCCAGCGGAGATGCGAAACAAGGTCAAACAGGTCAAGAAGGTCAGAGCGGAGCAGCAACACCACCGGCCAAAATTTGATCATCGGACTGGGCATTATGCAATTACGATTGAAATTAACCCTGACTGCAGGGCAAATCAAATTTGGGTAGTTCGGTTCGCGGCGCAAAATACCGAGCCGGCCGGCCCACACACATTTTTTAGGCTTGGTGTGTATTTAACACAAATTATCCAAATTTTAATAAAACAATCCGATTTATAGTTTATAACAAATTGTCCTGTTTTTTTCATCCCAAAGGCGATGTTAGTTTAATTTGATCATGCAATATTTTACCTATGTATATATATTCTTAATTAATCGAAAATTAATTTCATTTCTGTTTGCCAAGATGTCTTGGCAAAACTCGAACTGGAATAGTTTCACCAATTTCGCTACATATAAAAAAGACAAAAGCCTTTCAATATCGAGCAACTATATCATATACTTGTCATTGAATTTTATGAATTTCAGTATGTTTCTGCTGAAAACTTTTCCACTCACAAATATGTTCGTATGACAATTATATAACTAGTTAGCTTCTGATGTCGTTTGTTCATTGTGATGTTCATTGTGATAATTTGAGGATAACTTTTTATTTACCCTAAATCACACACCCTACCGAACTGTTCACTTTAGTATGAACAATTTAGTTTAAATTGTCATACGATTTTTATTTAAAAAAAGCTCACATATTATATTTATTTGAAAGCTTCAAATGTAAAAGCGAAGGCAATACTTTATATAACAGTTAAATCAAGCCCAAAATCAAATGCAAACGAAGAAACTAACCAAAAATTGATGTTCTTTAGGATCAGGCAAAGATATTTCTCAAACATTTCGGTGCTCCTCAGCCAACCCAACCCTCGGTCTTGGCGCATTTTTAATTAGCCGCCGCAGGGTGAATGCGCACAATCTCCATGGGCAGAGGGCAGGTCCGGTCAGAGCGGGCAGCGGTCTCTTGTTGAGAAGGGGCCGTGGTCCTTCAACCCGAAAAGAGGCAAGCGAAAAATTGAAAATTAAAAAACTACAGGAGATTCTTTCAGTGTGTGCATGTAGTAGGTACGACGTGTATGTATTATACCAAAAATTGAGAACCGGGCCTGACAATGATCTGCTGCTCATGAAACGCAGGCAGCGGCATCAGCAATGGGAACAACAATAACATCAAAAAATAAAAATAAAAAATGAAAAAAAAAAGCTTCCCAAACCCAACAATATGAGCGTTTCGGTTGACGTTGACAGGGTGAGACCCTACCTCGTGTGGAAACAAGTCTTTGGATTTGTTTATTGTAACAAAAAATAAGAGATAGGATAATATATTTGGCAATCCTGGTGTACATACACACACATACATGTTCAGACACATAATATTGCATGCTCATATTTCACATACATATGTATGTGTGTCTGTATATTCCTTTTCCTAACACACATATGTATATGTATGCATGTTCACACGAACAGTTCATTCCTCAAGCTGTCCAAGACCATAGCAATTAGGGGCCTTAAATAGTCTCTAGTGAGGCTTAACTTTCTGAATTTCCTACCATGGCTGTCCTAATAAAGCCTAAATGTGTAGGGTACACAGCACAGTGAAGACGAAATCTTGCTGCTCTTATTAATTGAATGAACATTTCGAAAAGTTGACAGGCAAGATGCGCGACGCGGTGAATTACAATAGTCGCCGACTAAACTAAAATAGTTATATCTGGAGTTTTCCCTTGTCTTTGCCCTTTTTGAAAAAGTTTAATTTTATTTTGTAATAGTTTTTGATTCCAAATATTACATGCATATGCATATACATATATGCGCACGCACATGGCTGTCCGTATGACAAACTTATGTGAATGCAACCAGTTGCTACGTATACCAACTGGCATATTGTAAGCTAGAACGCTTCGAACTTTAAACGATCGAACGTAAAACAAAAACCATGCGGTCGCAACATGTTTGCTGTGAGAAGGACGACTACAGCATGTAGCAAGCCGGTAGCGTAATGTGAGAAAGAACGTGATGGCTATAGTGTCAGGCAACAACATCAACAAAAAACAAATGTCAAGCTAATAGAAATGCGACAACAAATAAAACTCACAGCGTGTAATGAGAGGCAGAGCAAGAGCGAGGGAGAAGGAACAGTTCTCTCTCGCTCTCGACTATCATAGATATAGAGCCAAAAGAGAGCTGTGTTAATTAATATGTTTGGCCGCTTAACAGCGTTTGTTCACAACTCTCGGCTTGCAACATGTTACTGTTAACTTAACAGACATGCTCGTCGTCGACGAACTGTTGTATTTGGAACTTAACTTTTGTACTTTATATCAAACTTGTTTCCATTTTTACCGTTACAGTTGATCGTGTGCCGCGTGCCCTGTTGGACGTCTGCTCGCTCGTCTCTCGAGGCATTTACAAAATTAAAAATAAAAAAGAAACTAATTCTATGTTGCCACCCGGGTGGGTAAATCTCGAAAGCCACGAGGGCAGCAGAAAATATTGATTTAACAACTATTAAAGTCTTTTGCGGAATCCACGCACCGCACGTGCTACAGATACAAGGGCTTGCAGCAGCATGAGTTAATAAACCGTTGGGCAAATCTTCGGATCCTCAACGCCCTCAAATATGTCACTAGGAGTAGAATAAATAAACCACAGCATTTAGAGAACGCAGAAGCAAATCACCTAGAAGATACTTTCAAACAAAAAAGAATACTTCAACAGACAAGTGCGTCGTGCCGCAGGTCTCAAAAAATCGGTTAATTGAATCAATCGAAAAGTGTTTAAAAAGAATGAACTGCTACAAATCGAACCAACTTTTAATGAATTCGCATTTTGCGATTGCTGTTGTGATTGTGGTGTGCGTGTGTGTGGTGTGTGTTCAGGATTTTAACACCTTGACACTGCGGCAAAGCGTGTTTCACACATTTCCAACAAAATTACGCAAATTATATACAGTATGTCAATAAAGTGTTTTTACTAACAAAAAAAAACTAATTTTTTGGGTTTAGTTGAAAATAAATGTACCTAAAAGTGAGAATTTTTTTTCAATTCTAATTTATTTCGATTCTATATTTTTCCTAGAACTTAATGGCAAAAAGAATTGTTAAATAACATTACCCAAACATTTTATAAAATTAAAAAACTAAAAACATTCAAATTTTATGCTGTCAATAAAGTGTTTTTACACGAAACTTTATTACTAAATAACAATGTTAAAAAAACAGGAATATTTTTTTTTAATACTTTGTGTGGCTGCCATTAGCGTCACATACAGCCTGCAATCGCCGTTTCATTGAAACAATAAGGTTTTGTATGTATGTTTCTGGAATCTTCTGCCATTCTTCCAGTACAGCAGCTTTTAAATCAGTTTTTGATTTTGGACTCCGCTTTGCGACTTTTTTTTTCAAATATGACCACACATTTTCTATTGGATTCATATCTGGACTTTGTGGTGGAGTGTCTAACACCTTTCCACAGTTGTACAACAGCCAAACTCTTACCATATGAGCTTTATGCTTCGGGTCATTGTCCTGGTAAAATTTAAAAATTGGCTTATTGTCCTCATAGAATCCAAATTTCTGTGCACTACTGACGAGATGTGTCTGTAAAATGCTCAGATATTGTCTAGCATCCATGGTATTCTCAATGAAGGTCAAATCTCCTACACCCTTGCTCGAAATACACCCCCACACCATCACTGATAGTTTTCCGAATTTAACGGTTGGAATAATATTGCGGTTTTCCAACGCTGTTAGTGGCTTTCTCCAGACTCTGGATGGCCCATCGTTGTAGAATAGCATCATCTTGCTTTCGTCACAGAATATGACGTTACTCCAAAAATCGTTCGAACTATTTACATGGACTTGAGCGAACGATAGCCGCTTCAAAATATTCGCCGCCGATAGTAGAGGTTTTTTCCTGGCAACTCGTGATGTGTAGTCATTGGAATTCAGTAATTTTCGGACAGTTTCATGTAACACATCAACACCACTTTCTTCCTTGAACTCCTGAGCAATATCCCTAAGCGAAATTTGTGGATTTTTCTCAATTTTTCTCAGAATTTTTCGCTTATCTCTGTCAGAAATTTTGCAGGGTCGACCACATACTGGCTTTGCCTCTAGCCTATCTTCCTTATTGGCTCTGTTTAATATGTTGTATATCGTTGCTTTTGATAAATTAAACATATCAGCCAGTTCCGAGACTTGACGTCCCATCTGATGGTTATAATACACCAGCTGAGCGACTTCAAAAGTTGTTCTTTTTCCTGGCATTTTATTTTTCATAAAATTAAAGCAAAACGTTATAAATTGCAATAGAAAATGACAAGAAAAGTCGAAGACACAAGAGAAGCCAAAACGCATGGGCCCAAATCTAACGGGATCACCCAAAAGAGAACGGCAAAACAATTTACCGTAGCTGTAAAAACACTTTATTGACAGCATAAAATGTGAATGTTTTTAGTTTTTTAATTTTATAAAATGTTTGGGTAATGTTATTTAACAATTCTTTTTGCCATTAAGTTCTAGGAGAAATATAGAATCGAAATAAATTATAATTGAAAAAAAATTCTCACTTTTAGGTACATTTATTTTCAACTAAACCCAAAAAATTAGTTTTTTTTTGTTAGTAAAAACACTTTATTGACATACTGTATATGTAAAAATAAAAATCTACAAAATTGCTTAAAAAACTGTGATGGACGTCAGACTCTGACACTTGACACGTGCTCAGTTGCAGGTATAGCGCCAGGCGGCGTATGCATACATACACATGTATATCAGAGGGTCAGGGATAAGTGTGACTAAAATCTAAACGCAATTAAGTAAATTCATCAAATTATAATTAACACGAATGCCACGCAAAACATTAATAAAGTGTTACTACTTCCACAAGGCAAATGGCATATAGAGGGCATACAGACAAGCTTCCAGCACATTGATGGAAATAATCATCAAATCATGGTTTTATAATTAAGCAACATTTTTAATTATGAACCCAGTGATAAGTCCAGTAATCAGGTAATCCTTAATTGTAGTTAGTAACGCCGTTCTTCCATTTCGGTTTAAACTACTGAGTAAAGCCTGTTAAAGCTTCATTCTCTCAATCATTCGTCAAGGTCATCAAAAGCCCGCCAAAATTATTTGGACACACATGTATCTAAAAAAGTTGTTAACATTTGGTATACATTATGAATGCATCTAAAAAAAAATACCCAATTCGGGTAAATTCTTTGGCGATCATGATCTAAAAAAAAAAAATGAGTTTCCTGGCCCTATTTGTATGCCCTGTACGCAGCTCTCTACTCAGGAATCAATGTCATAGCATGTCACTGGCAAAATATCTATGTTTTCGTCAGTATATATGTATATTAAATTTATTATGCATTTCAAAATTTATAGAACTAACAATTATCATCGTCAAAATTAACACCACATTGTTGTTGTCAAGCACGTTTGAACAAATAGCAGAATGTTAAAATGGTTCGATGTTGCGCTTAGTTCGAGGTTGTGTCGCTTGTAGCTTGTGACAGTGTAACAGTGCCATTCTGAGTTAGCAATAACGTAATACGCAAACTTCACTTTTAGTTCATATCAAAAAAAAAAAAAAATCAAATAAGCTGTATTCGCTTTTCAATTATTTTCTTGTGTTGCATTGAAGCGTTACTCATTTAGATATGTTGCTCTCAAACCAATTACGAACTTGGTTAATTGGTTTAATGCTGCACGCTTGGTTCGATGTTGTCTTGCAACCGGTTGCCTGCTTAACATTTGTGTGCTAACAATAACATACTATGTCAACGTCGCTGTTAATTCAATTCAAAAAAAATTTTGAATTTCCGCCCGCCTGTTTCTCAATTTTTTTCGTGTTTCTCAATTCTTATTTGGCGCTCGATCGCGACGGTCACCATCGGTGCAACTGTTGCTCTCACACCCAGTGCCAGTGTGCACACGCGTTCATACATGTGTATGTATGTTCGTATTTCCGGTGTCAAAAAACCATAAAACGAATAAAGTGTAAAGATTCAATTATCGGTTATTCATAAAAATACCAAGCGTCGTATACTTGCATATATTTTATATCAATATAATTGAATCTGTGTCTGTATGTGTGTGTGCGCGCGGCGACTGGCGCCAACATCGATTTAATTATAAATACATCAACAATAATAATAATAATAATAACAAGAATAGCACCATCGTTGATATGTACATAAATACACTCGTACATACATCACATACATCTACATCTACACACACTGTGCACTATTGTTACACACGCTGGTAGGCGTTGCTTTTTGCCATATTTCTCTCTCGTCGCCATCACGCGCTGCGGTACAAAGTTAAACTCGCCGTTGGCGTCGGAAACACACCCGTAAAAAGCCAGCAGCTCACTGCTGGGGTATCTGCATTCATAAGGAAATGTGTCACTCGACAATTGAATAGAATCGAACTGAATTGGAAATGGTTTCAAATCAAAGCTTGCAGATCAACTCAGCTTGAATTTGGGAATGGTTTCTGCGTTTTAAGCTGAAGAATTCCCAGCTTTGGCTAAATTATAATTTAACATAATAATACTATGTGCTACGTGAAACAACAAATATGTTATAGTTTAATCTGTTTGCTTGCAATTACTTATTTGCAAGGACATCTGTTCACATCTTACCGGGCAGCATTAGATTCTTGATTTAAATAATTCTAATACTGTCAGGTAAAGATGTCGTCCGTGTCCTTATACATCATAAATCCAAAATAAAAGAAAGAGTTTTTTTTTTTTTTTTGAATGCAATTTAATTTGCGAAAAACCATAGCCGAAAACGTAAATCGTAAAACAAGTTTTTCAATTGTGCGTGTAGGAAAACTTGCCAAGCCTGCGATTGCCAAAGGGCGACAGGCAGAGCAAGGCGGGGCAGGGCAGGGAAGACCGCCAAACTGGCAGATCTCCCTGCCTGCGACTGCGGATGCCATGGACGAACAACAGAAAAATTGGTCAAAATGTTGTATATACCAGAATACACATATATAAGTATATATTATTTGCAGCAGCAGAGGCTCGTTTTTTTGGATGACATCAGTTGAGAGATCTTCGATGACACCGGACTACTGCTGCCTGTGTGTGTGCGAGTGTGTGTGTGTGTGTGAGCGCGTGTGACTGTGTTTCTGTACGTGAGCAGGTATACATTATGTATAGGAAACACAAAGAGATAGCCAGCGACAGGGACCAAGCGACCAAGTTAAGTGTAGTGCCCATAAAAATATATATTTTATGGTTCCGCTTCTTTTTTTGTTTTAGCCCCGATCTCAGTTCCTTTTTTCTTGGCTCAGCATTTCATTTTATTGTTTTGTCACAGACTGACGACGGATTTCTTAATTTCTGAACAATATTTAGTGACAAAATATGCCAGCCAATAAATTTGATGACGCCTAGCGCCCACACAGAAACCCGCACAGTTCGCATAGAAAGCAGATTCGACATTCCTCAAAATATTATGTATATACAAAAAAGTGAAATAATAATAAACCAATTTCATTTTAGTTATGGGACATTGAGCAATTTAATTCTAGAAACGAACAGGGCACAGATTTACTTCTGCTCACTTTGTATTGCAAACTAAATTCGAGTTCTTATGTTACAATGAATTCGACACTTAGTTATGTGTGCACAGCTAATCAACTAGCTGACTGAGATGAGCTAACAAACAACTGGCAGTACTCATCTATAACTTGGTCAGCTCATCCCAAGATAAGATTGGACGCATTGGGGGCAACGGGAACGACAAGGTAAAAGCCACTCGTTAAAAAGCTAAACAACCAAGGCAATTGTCAATAGTATACGACACAGAATACAACTGTACAGACAACCGACTGTTGGGAATGTCTATACATACATGTGTACGTATATATATAATACAACTTAGATAATACTAACACCCTGAAGTATGGGCTGTAAACGGTTTACAACGCTCTCAACTTTTAAAGTTCTTGGCACAGTGCTTCCCATTTGTCAATAGGGCGGGGGAAATCTAATCAAGGTAACCGAAAAATACGTAAAATACGGCATTGCAATGGGCGTTAGTTTCGGTCGCCCCGTCGAGACGATTCCACGCCAGAACGATAACGTAACCGGAACGAATATAACACCTGTTAATGAACCTGCCAGCGATACTAATGAAGAAGGCGCACTCTTTTTTCTCTTTAACTAACTCGCCAAAAGTCAAGCGTATATAGCGGTCGAGGGTAAGAAGCTCTTAATCCAAAGTGAATGCTAAACCCTAACCCCTCTGTGTAGGTTCAATTCAACCAAGTTGAATTCAATTGAGCCCAGCCCTGACTGCATATGAAATGCGCTAAACTTTGAACCGCATTTGTAATTCGATCAAGTTGAACCGTATCCAAGTGGAGGTTACATTAACATTAATACTGCGACTAAAGACCAGTTGGAAAAAGAACTTTAAGTATTTCCAATAAATTGGCACATTAGACACAATTAAAACAAGTTTAACCTAAGGCTGTTATGGACCTTAGGTCTAACAAAATAATGCACTAAATTAGTCAGAACAAGAACACTTAAAGCTGACTAATTTGTATTTTGAATGCAATCATACACAGATGTTCTCCATAAAGATAAAATAACAAATTGTATACTTCTAATATACTAATAGCTAAGCAAGCAATCACTCATTGAGAGAAGTATCCGGCCTCGAATCCCTGGCTGCTTTATGGATGTCTCATTAGCCTATCCGAAGGTCATTACAATATAATAATTACAATTATAATAATAATAATTAAAAATATATTATTATTTCACAACTCAACTGCAATTTTCAATACTAATCGAAAAGATTGGCGATACCCTGAACTACGCCTGTATTATATAATACACATACACACACATCAATCAGCTTTAAGTGTTACGCGTAGGATCCATAACAAAATAAACTCGGCTATTTCACAACCCAGGCCGGCATGAGTTGCCCGATGACAATCAAGAACTTAACTCGGGCAAATAGAAAACCATGCCGATAGGGAAACACTTCACCAGAATATATATATGTAGAGTGCCCTCTCGAGGAGGGGAGGAACTTTACTCTACTGTTCAATGCGATTGTATCGATTGGGTGCTGTTAATCAAAAATGTGACCAGAGCACTTGATATCCACGCGTCAATGATAATGATGACTTGCCTGGCAACCAGAGCAGTATCCCATAAAACCAAAAACCGGAGGGTCCTAGCCAAAACTTAGGTTAGCCAACCCGTATTTCATAACGAAAATTAATTACATACTATAATCGAATGGGTCTATCTGAGTCAATGGCACTCGATCAAAATGGGTCCAGCAATTCATTTGAAATTCGAAAGTTGTTTAGGACGTATTTATGGTTTTTTAAGAAATTTATTGGATTTTAGAATGAACCATGAAATTTGTTAGGAATGACATTCATACGTGGCCTTTTACCATACCTTATCACAGAGGCTTTTAAATAAATGTACATTCCGACAAAAGTAACGCCAGTGTATCAAAAATGTGTTGGTCACCGTTTGGCCATTGCGGAGGGTATCTAATCACATACAGTAAAGTGTATCTAATCATGGCCTCTAAGTGAACTGCTAGAGCACTATACGGTAAGTATCTAATCGCGACATTAGCCATTGATAAAGTTATATTAGACTCGGACGCGATTGTTGCTGGCGCCTTAAGTTCCAGTACTAGCTAGATTCTACATGAATGCCTTTTAGCCAAATTGACCCCTTACTATGCAATACAAAGGTCTACACTGATATGCACAGAGGAACTTATGATTGTTGAATATATCACATTGTGGATGAATTTCCCTACTTCTTCATATAATGCAGGCAACAGAAGAATTTAAAATGAAAAGGAAGATACTTAGCTGGAGCTTAATAGGGGGAAGGTTAATTAAGGTCAATTAAAGGCCAACATATTATTCCGACCTATTGATTAGAGCTGAACTGATCACAACATTTGGGGGAGAACAGCTGAAAATTTCAATTAAAAATGCAGCCTGTGTCTTCGAGGTATATTGAACCCGCATGGTAAAGGTATCAGCAGGGCTTTGTAGAATTTGGCATCAAAGAAGACTCAGAGCCGTTAAGCTGGTTCTCTCCGGCCACTAGGAGTTTCTTTTTCTGTATGCATAAATTAGTTAAACACTAATTTCCAATTCCGATTTCAGTCATGCAAATGTTAATTGACCACTTAAGTTAAAACTTCATAATGATCGTTAATAATACCGAGCACGATCGCGAAGAGCGTCCACCCCAGCGACAAACTGTAACCAAAAGAACAGGTTCAAATTTAAGTTAACTGACCAGTGAGCCCTTCCACCAGCCCCCAGTGATCTTCTTGGGCTCTCCAAGCTCGTAAAAGATATGCAGCCTATAACCAACTTACTTAGCACAAATTATACACACACATAGATAAAGTATTCACACACACATACATACTGGCGAAACCTGAGAGACCTGTAGCCGGAGGCTCTTAACTGTGCATTAATGATCTTTTCTGCTAGCTCATTTTTCGCATCGTCTCTTTTATTAATACCCTCTACCCATAAAATGGGCTAAAATAGTGTGCTGTCAACAAGCCGAAGAAGGTATCTCTGACGGGCATAACTACTTATAAATGTTACTTCTCTTGATCAGCCAAATAATAGCCAAAGCTTAAAACTTTCAACTTTTAATACTTGCAATTCCCTTTACTGCCTTAAATAAAATATCAGGATATATAGGTTTAAACGTATTCTAGGAACAGAATCTGTATATAGTTACAAGGACATATATACTAGCTTCTATGCTAAGCCCAATTACATATTTTCTATCGTTCACTGTTAGATTTTATTTAAGATAAAGATAAAGTGGCCAAATCACCCAAACATTGAACAACTGGGATTAGCATCCCAAAATAGTCTTGATATACATATCCAAATCTTAACCAATAAATTTTAATATTTCATATAAATCTATATCATATTAAATATATGAGTTGAGTTTCTGTGAATAATTGCTATATCATGGCTTTTAACGAAAGCCAATCAACTTATTTCCTGCTTGTTTAACTGCACTGATCGCAGCTCGTCTGAAATGGGTCAAATTGTAGTTAACAAAGTGCAGGAGCAACCGGCACATTAACGTCCATTTATCAACGGGCCAAGTGGATCCGACCACATGACTCGTGCCACCTACCACTGACGGCGGCAGGAACAACAAACAAGAAATGAACATTTCCTCGGCACGCCGAAGATTAAATACCCTTGCAGACATGTGGCTTAAAAGCAAGTGAGTGGTACATTTTAAAACTGATTGGAATATGTTGAAAGCATAGTCAATTCTGAAGAATATATATTGAAAAACGAAATGGTTTTTATGCACGCTCTAAGCCGATTAGAAAACATAGAAAGAGTCATGCATAATTTCCTGATGTCTTTTAAATGGAAAGACTAGTTAGCATCAAAGCAGACATATGGACATGACATTATCGGCTGTTTATACCGTCAATTAGCATACATTCCTTATGCGTTACACACTTTGTGACAAAATGATTGTACCCTATGCTAGGGTATACAAAATGCAAAAACTGCTGCGCCATGGCAGACAATTGGCTCTCCAAAACGTTGCTTAGCGCAACTAAATCTTCTCTTAGCCGCAGATAATTGAACGTCCAATTTGAAGTTAAGCATTCCCGCCGCCCCTGTTGCAACCGTTTGCTGGAATTGGGAATCTATCTGTACATGCTCTAGAGTAAGAGCCCGTGCCCATTCTTGTTGCATCCACATTCACCTGCCCTGCTCGTGGGCACGCCCGCTGATCATCAAATTAGCATTGTTACAGTGCCTACTTGGACCTTAGCTCTGGAATGCGCATATTTCAATATGTTTACTCATGAGTTAGCTGTTTAGTCCGTAGGTATTTTAAAAATACTTTCCAATAGTGGCTGTACACTAAATTCGATTTTGTTAATCTCTGAAAGATCTTTATTATATTCATTTGTATTTAAATTAAATTTTTCTACATTTTATTTATTATGTTTCATATGACTTTTCCATTATGAAGAGCTACTAACAAAAGTTTTGTTTGTCTTGTAATTTACATTTGTTGTCCACTTAGCATATGATATTTACATGAGCCTCTATATGCATTATGGATATATATGCCTATTACACATGTATTGGGGCCATGATGGCAGCACCCGGCTGGGCCACGCGTGTGTGGCTAATACGCTGGGCTATGCTAGTAATTAAAAGCGTTCATGTTTTGGTTTCCTTTTGTTGCTATTATTTGCTTGTATATTAGGTGAAATTCGCTGGGTTGAACTAATACAAAAACTAGCGTAAATGATGCTGAACAAATTGAGTACACACAAAAAGAAATACGTAACAGTTGTATGGGAATGCCTGACTAGGATATACTCTGAACCTGCTAAATCAACTTCTTCTATACATATATATGAAAAAAAAAACATAAGCACATACGGACTTTAAGCAGAGGTTGTGCTTCTATATCGCGCCACAAACTATGCCACATTTCGGATTGAGTATATATATTTCAATTTCGATTTCAAAAATTGAAAATAAAAAAATTAGGATCTATCCGAAAGGGAAATATACCAAATTTGGTGCATCTAATTCTTATAATCTTCGAGATAGGCTGTTAAGACCGAGAATGTAGATTTAAAATTGAAGTTTTCGACCTTAACGATTTTTTGGAATTACCTCTAAGGGACTTCATTTAATTTAAGATTTGGCCGCCTTTCAACCAACTTGGCATGCCCCCAGTAGACGACAGTAAAATTTGTTTAAATTGAACTTTAGAGGAGCTTATCAGTCGATCTTTTTCACCACAGCTGTAACCTATAGACTATATATCTTAATATGTTATTTGACGCATGCATATTCAAGACATATTCAAAGTTTCAAGGCAAGTCAAGAAAGAGGCCGGCGGCTGACAAAGGCTGACTGCTACGCCATCAGTTATGCACCTGATCGACCATCTCAGTGAGCAATTAGCAGGCAAGAGATCTAGGCACTATCATTATGAATATGTATGAATTACTTTTATAAACGAACTGCCAACCCCAGCAGCTACACTTGTACAATACACACACACATTAATGACAAATTATATACACGATTAACTATCGCGCTGTAGAAAAATCACACACATATATATACGTATAAATTTAACACGTAAAAAATTAGATAAATTTGCATAGAAATTGCAATGAACCTTAACTCAAAAGTGGCAGCACAAGAAGAAGAACAAGAAGCAAAGGAACGAAAACAACAACAGCTACAGCTAACAACTAGCAGGTGGTAACAGGTTAATACAACACTGTCCAACAAAAAGTTGCTTTCTGGACCGAAATCATGGCATATTAAATAGAAAATGGTATTTTACTTAAAGTTAAGTTTATTTCAATTGAAATAATTTGAGATTTGGAAAATATAAAGAATAGAAATTAATTATTTTTTGCTGTAGTGAAATTTAAGCTATTAGTTCGAATGGCAGCACAATGAAGTCTTTTTTTTTTTTGTTGCAGAGTGTTGCGTGTTGCATGAAAACTTGCTGTAGTTGTTGTAATTATTAGCAAGTCTAACCCGTAGCTGACAAACGACATAAAATACTTACAAGTGCATATGAAACAAGAAAGAACTCTTATTCCCGGCACGCCGAAGATTGAATACCCTTCCGTAGACCCACAATCCTTGCCAAGATATATTAAAAAAATAACTTGTTCAAACATTAAATTATATTGTCGACAATAAAATGCGAATTTGAACAACAAATCTTGAAAATTAAATAGTTATTCAAGAATAAAAATTATATCTGTATATTAAAGAGGATGATAATAGTTTGCAAAACAGCCGAGAGATTACTATAGCGACACGGCTGTTGATACTGGTCAAGAATATATATAATTTCTGGGGTCTTCTCCACTTTTCCATTTAAAATACCCTCTACAAGGGTATAAAGCAGTGAACGCAAAAAATAAAGACAGAGTTTTATTTTAGCCATCTTGCCAGCTACTGTTGGCTATTTTATGCATTTGGCTGTTAAGATACGATTTTTGAATTTGTGGCTTATAGATATTTATTTATATATTTTATATACATATATATATTTCATTTTTGTTTTGCTTTATTTATAGCACAAATTTTTGTAGCAAGTTTGCCGCCTGTTGCCGTCTTGAGCAGCGCAATGGAGCAACAACAGAGTTATTAATGCTTGGAATTTTCATAATCGAAACGAGTTTTCAACCGGCAGCCAGCCAGGCAAGGAAGCACACGCGTTCACTAATGCAGAGCCCCAGTCCCAGACATGAGATCTCGACTCCGTGCTCATGGCTGCTGCTGTTGTTGTTGTTGTTTTAATAACTAACGCCTCTCTGGCTTGCAAAAGTCAAGCTGGCAAGCCAAGCCAAGGCGGCGCAGAGCAGCGGAAGGGGCACAAGCTCCATGGCTGGCAGTGGTAGAGTTATGGCAAGACAAGCACACGCCTTGCGCGAACAGGTGAAGCGTTTAACCGTACGTCGGCGGAGTCAGAGTCAAACGATCGCTTGTACCCTTGGCAGCCGAGACGGGCGAGGGGTATAATGACGAGGCCAATTGACTTGGCTGCAGGTTTTGCCAACCTGTTGGACTTTGTCTGGTTAGTGCCTTAAAGATTGAAAGCAGTTGCTGCAGTCTTATTCCACACAGCGATCTATATTTATTGAAAGCGTGCGTTTAATTAAAAAATTCTCGATTTCAACTAACATTTGAATTTGTTAAACATTGTATCTAAATATCTGGATACATTAATAAAACTGTTTAATCTAACTAATTGACTGACTGACTGACCGACCGATTAGCGATCACCACACAGCCCAAACCACAGAAGCAGGCAAGATAGATTCTTAACAGTCCTTGACTTAAATGGTGTAAAAGTGAATTTTAACCGATTGTTTGGAAAGTATTTGTTTAAAACTGTGATAAATGCGTCTCCATATCTATTAAGGCTGCCAAGCTCGGAACAAATAAGTAAACATTTTTGAAATTTTATGTTTCCAACCAAAAATCTGTAAGACTTTGCAGTAGAAATGTAGAATTGAATAGAATGCTAACGCGCTTCGCATTCGTATGCAAAATATGAATATTCAGGTTTCCCAGACTTATGACAAGAGCAGCCAGAAACGCATTCACAACGCCGTCGGCTTTCACTCACGTTGCATGCCACAACGACGCGAGCCCGGAGCCCAGAGCGCAACGTCAAAGGGCAGCCCCAGAGTTGCAGGTAGCCGCAGCAATGCGGCCGGCCAAATTAACCTGCTCGACGTCAACGGGCAAAAGCTGTAATTTGCTTAAAAGCAGCGAACAAATAAAGGGTTTCAATGGTTGCTCTGCCAAAGACGGACATACATACAGATAATGAATCGAGAATGAGGGCTACGACTTTAACTGGGAGCTGGAGCTGGAGCTGAAACTGGAATTCGAACTGGAGCTAAAACTGCGATATGTGGCAGGCAGCGGCAGCAACCGGTGGATCAGTGACAAGTGTATGCTCCATGCCGACAGCTGCCGCATTTTTGACTGGCCCGCAGAATCATCTTCATCTTTGAGCAACAGCCAAGAGTATGCATACATGCACCTGTGTATGTCTGTGTATGAGTATGTGGATGCTGCATCCAGAGCCTGGTCATAGTTTTAATTAAGTGCTTGTAGATTTTTGACTGGATGCATTGCGACGTATTCTGCATTTTGATAGAGTAGCCAAGAAACTTGCACAACAGGCACAATTACACTGGACCCCAAGGTATATACATATATATATATATATAGATCCAAAATGTGATAATCTGGAGATCATCTCAGTTATACAACTGCCAATTTACTTGACTGTTACTTAAAGAAATTCATTTATATTAATTACCTTTTATTTTACGATTATATTATTGACAAATTGGTATTAATAAATAAATTGTAAAATAACGGAGTGGATAATCTATCTAATGGGATGGTCAGCAGGGCGAATTCTTCTCAGTCTGCGGCGCCAACACATAAGGATATAAAAGTAGTCGACCGTTGTATCGACTGGAGTGCTGATTACTTTAGTTCCCTATATAACTAAAGTCGAATTATTCAAATTTAATCAAAGGATTCGACCTACTCTATAATGTTTAATGCTGGGTTGACAAGTCAGATAGAGTTTACGAATTTTACTGTGCTTTGCTATGAAAACATTTCTGTTTTCGTTTTTTATGTGAGAAGCCTTTAAATAGTATCGAAAACAGCAAAAGATCCCAAAAATTGATTATGTTTACGAAATGAGAAACAATTTTAAATAATATTAGTAATAATTTTTATAAATTTGGTTCATATCAAAAAAATTGTGTAATTCCGGATTCGAACCGCCTTGGGCCGAAACCGGCTTCCAGCCTTTATATATTTTCCAGACAAATACCTATAGAAATCCAGTTCACCGAAAGTTATATGACTTTGAATTTCCAACAATTCTTAAATAAACATCAGTTTTATTTATCGGAAATATTTTAACTTTTATATAAAACTGCCAGATTGGGATTTACATATATTGACGGTGTTGAGTTATGGTTCCGATGAATTAGCAATTCACTTTTCAAAAAAGTCTGCCTCTCTCTCTCTCTCTCTTTACCTTTGACTGTCGAATATTTGGCGACTGAATGGCTGAGCACTATTCCCCAACGAGCAGCGATCCAGTTTCTTGCTAGCCTTTCATACATATTCTTAAGTTGCAAGTGTGATTGGGCATCCGAGCGTAGCTCAGAATCTAAACACATAATTCAAAATCAATTGAAGCCTTGCGGGACCAGCACAGCTGCGCCCAAACATTAGGCAGAAATCCATTAAAAACACGCACACCCTGCAGCTTGGGCAATTGCTGGTGATAAATGCCCAAAAGCCTCCAACCGCAACGGCGATAAACCCGGCGCTGCATTCGTCCATTGCCTTCGGAACCGGCATTGTGGTCTTATCAAAGTACGCGGCGAATGAGCGAAAGAATTTTATTCATGAACTTCTTTATGCTGCACGCAGACGAACCTTGCAACAGGTTCAAGTGGTTAGAAAGAACATGGGGGTACTAAGCGTGATAAAAAAAAGTTAAGGAGTCCCCGGCTAGGAGATACCCCGAACTCAGCGCCGAGCTGTCCCTCGGACTTCCTTGATGCACATGTACACAAAACGCCTTCATGGATGCATCCTCCTTTTGGCCCACAATGTGAGAAAAACATTCTTAAATAACTTCGGTATTTGCAATATGATCTATTGAGGTCTTTACGTTTGCATCCAAAGTCTTGTACATACCAACATCTCTAAAAAGGGTGAAGGGCATCTGTATATACGACTCCAGCTATTTAATCTCTGAGTTATGGCAATAAGCTCTTGTCTAAACATTCACGTTTATTGATATATATATTCTAAATGGAAGGATAGACTGACAGACTCATAGAGGGGCATGCTAAAATGACTCACTGTTACAAACAAATGCACAAATCTATTATACCCTTTATAACCCATCTTCAATGACTTCATTGTATAATGAAGTATTTTTTAAATGCCTAATGATTCTTGGGGTTCGTTGTCTTAAAATACTGCCAGTAGTCACTCTTAAATAATCGTGACCACTTAGAGGAAGGTTACAATAATCATAAGGTGTGAAAAATTTATGAGCGCTCAGCACAATTTGTACGCATTCGAGTCGACTTAAGAAGGATCTTAAGAACTGAGCCAAGGCCAAGAGCTTGTGAGTTAAACAAGAGCCAATCCATCAGCCAGTACTTAAATAACGCCCATGTTGAACTCGTTCACAGGCAGAAAGAGCAAGGCTGAGGATGATCCGGAAGTTAGGTATGGAGTAAAAAATCTGCAAGTGTAGATTTTGATTTGTTTGTGGCTGCTTAAGACATCAAAATGTTGAAGTGCTACAACTGTCAGATTTGGCAGTTGCAGCTCCGAAGCGCTACTAAATCAAGCCAGCAGCCGGGCGCATGGGCTAGGCTTTTGGGCCGGTGCACATTTATGGCCTGTTAAAAGGCGGCCCGCCAAGTGCCGGGCAATTGGTTAAAAGCCACAACAAAAGATACAACACGCCCGATAACGGAGAGGTAGAGAATGATGAAAAAAAAAAAAAAAAAACAAAAAACACAGAAGAGCATAAACAAGAAATGAACGCGCCACATGACCAAAAAAGGATTCGATCCCAGTCCGAGAATCGTTGCAAGTTCATAAATAAAAGATGGCAAATGGCAAATCGAGAGCCAAAAAGGCAAAACAATGGAAAGCCGCCGAAACCGAAGCCGAGCCTGAACTCAAATATGCAGACGTGACTTATTTAGGACAAATTGTTTGATTTACGCTTTGTAATAAAAACGATAATACTTTTAAAAGAAAATCTGAAGTGCGACCAAATTGATCAGGCACATCGATATAATATATATGTATATATTGTTTTTATATATCAGTCTCTTTTAATTATGGTATGATATTAGACGATGCTGCGCGAAATAGTGGGATATTAGTTCTTAGTTAACAATTTCACAAAATATAACTAAGTTTCTAAGGATTCAAAATTAAGAAAATGAATAAACCAAGCCTCAAAGATACTCATATACTGAGAGTCAATGATGGCAAATATGTAGATCTTAATTCACATAACATTTGCTATGCAACTTTCACTAAAATGTCTATGTGCAGGAGCTATTCTTATCACATTCCTGGATACAAGAAGTCGATAAACAGTATACTAAAGCACTGAAGTCTCGTTTTGTTAAGTTTAAGAGACAACCAAAGCCAGACAACAAATCTCACGCTGAGTAGGTTCTCATAGCTGTGATAACTGTTTTGCACTCAAGATACTTACAACAAGAAACATTAGTACAAACATACTCAAACTCTAAATGTCTGTATATACAAGAGAGAGAGAGAGAGAGAGAGAGAGAGAGAGAGAGAGAGAGAGAGAGGGGGGCGAGGCATGCGCTTAGCTGGTTATTTGACACCTTGCACTCTTGCATGTATATGCCACTTGCCATACTCTGCCAGACCTGACCATCCCATCTTATCCTATTCATATCGCGGCCTGCCCAATGAAGCGTTTCTGTTTGGGTAAGTCCAGAAAAGAGCATAAAGCATAAGTAGAAATATATGTGGAAGGGGCAAGGATGTCGGGCTGCTTGGCTGCCAGATTGGTTTCTTGTGCGCCGTTGTGAGGGTTGTTGGTTTTCTCTAGGAGCGGGGTCATTGGCATATCCTGATAGCGATTGGGACGACGACGCCAGTGAATATACTATCGATAGCATCGCCGAGGCTGCCAAGTAGAATTCAGGGGTAATTTAATTTATGTTTTTGTGTGTTTCTTCGTTTCTTCTACAACATAATACAAATGCTTGGGTTTGCCTCGCCTGGGTTTCGATTAGTTTTGAATATATAATTTGACCGCTGACTGTGACACACTTATGCGATGGCGTTGGGCGATCGCGATGGGAGTTTGAGTTGGAAACGGGGATCCATTGGTGTTTCTTCACCATCTTCTTCTTCTTCTTCTTCTTATAATCACTGACTGGGCATAATTAAAATTTATGGCCAATGCGCTTCCAGTCAATTCATTAGCCGCCTTCTAGTCGCGGCTTAATTAAAAAGTTTCATAAATTTTTTTAACTATCGTATCCACCTGTTGTTGTCTCTACAATTTCCATACATACATATGAATGTACATATATGCATGAATTTAAGAGTGGGACAAGGGATCCATCAGGGATCCATAAAACATTCATATACTAAAATATGCTAAGATTACGGTTAGAGCAAGCAATCTATGAGCTCTTGTAAAACTAATTTTATAAGGCTATAAAATAAAAGATACTTGATACTTGCATATTCAATTCTAGACGTTATATGTCGAATTTGGTGACTCTAGCGCTATCATAAAAAATCATAATTGTTATGCGCTTAAAAAAGAAAACTCAATAGTCTTGCCATGTGACGAATAGCAAAGCTGTCTTTAGGACTCAGATTTGAGTACAGTCAGCTCTATGACTATAAATCAAATGCATATCCTGTTCAGCCTTAGTCAGGCTTATCAAAGGCTTCAAACGCTTCACTGCAAATAAATTTAATATGTATTGAGTTTTAATGAGGGACACAACAACAACGATACCTCAACCAGCTCGCACATGTTATGCGTGTGTATACATAGTAAGTATACATATATAGAAGTAGGAGCCACAGTCCAGTGCCTGCTGGTAGAGCCTATCCAGGGAATTATTGCGGTAAGTGAACCCGAACCCCGCTTCACACGTGATTAGCATGCAAGAAACACTGACAACGACTGCGACTGCGAGCAGTTGACAGTTGTCAAATCCACTTACGCTCTTCATGGTAAACAGTTTTTGACGAGCCTGCTGAAGGATTTATTTAAGTGCGGACAGACTAACAAACTAATAAGTGCGACCGGGCATATAAATATAACTGAGTTGCCAGATACATAGGAGGTATCTGTACATTCATCAGAGACTCCTAGCACTACTTTGTGCGTGCGTGAAAGAGCAGCAGCTGCTACCTGTTGCTACCTGTAGTTGATTTGCTCGTTTATCGGGGAATGTTAATGGGAAAGCCCTGAAACATTTATAGTTCTTGCTGATTCCGCCAGCTCACTGAGAGGTTTTCGCCTAGTTTTAAGAGTAGGCACCAAAAAATTAACCAAACACCTTTGAAACAGCTGTACAACCTAACTGAATTCAATTCACCTGTGAGTCCGAAACAACAAAAAAGCACAACAAATCAAATGCAATGCGAATCCTAAATACTCTTTCAGCATTAATTTAAGAAATTATATTATAACAACAATTTAAAGGGATTTATCTTTATAGGCTTTTCAGCAAATTGTACAAATAAATTATGTTTAAATATTGTCGACAGCATTTAATATTAGCTTGTGCCATGTACAAAACATTTCCTACGACTCGTTGCATCCCAAAAGAAAGGTTTAAACGCATTCATCTTTTAAACAAATAACTGCAGGGCAACAAGTCATAAAAAGCCATTGGCATTGAAGAAATACAACCAGATGCCAACTGTTTCAATAAAGAAAGCAAATTGTAGGTTTTGTATTTCTTTTTATGTTCGCAACACTAAATGTTCAGCTGTTTTCTGGACCTGGCTCGAAGTCTGCTGAACTCGAGCACAGATCGTTGATGAAGAGTGAGGGGGGGCTCCTATATTTGCTCTACAACATATTGACACAACAGCCACAAAAAATAAACGAGCTTTCCTTAAGGTTCTTTACATTCCGATACTTGCGCGTGACAATAAGTTTAACATAAGTACCATCAGAACATAATGAATATAATGTAAATATACTATAATGTCAGAGAAAGCAATTATAAAAGGTAGATATAAGAGAAAGAGAAAGCAAAATTGACAAGTTTTGTTATACAATTTCCGGTATAACGTTTAGAATCACAACAAACAACAACATTGCATACGGATGCAAGCGACTTCACATTACTCTGCCAAAGTGAGTTAAGGCAAAACTATTTTGATGGAGGATATATATGCCCCACTGATAACACCCCCAGTAGAAGTCATAGAAGTCATATTTTCAACATTGATCTTTAGCGGAGTTCATCAGTAGACATCATTCCAAATATTATAAATCTACCTCTTAAACTGTCGCTTTTCCTTTTTTGGCATTCCCCCAGTGGGCGCAGCCATATACTCTTAACTCATTATCCAAAGCGGGTATATGTTCCACGTGGTTCGACGTTTTACCCGGCTAAAAGGACAACACCTTGCCCTGCTGCAGCAGTAAATACCAGATCATCCCCTAAACATATCACTTAAGATTTGGCCATTTAATAAAGCGTAGCCCCTATATATATTGTGTCTATTATGTTATAGCCAAAATTGCTGGCTTACTCTCTGCCGAATAGTAATATGAAAGAGAGTACACATCCAGGTTTTCCATGCATTGCACAAAATCAATAACTTTTTCAACAAGTATTAAAAATTCTGTGCAGATCGATATCTGAGTCAATTTATACTTAATTTCATAAAACTTATTAAAACTGTAACCAGATTCACTTTACCGTTCACCTCAAAATACTCGTTCTGCTTGAATGGTGCAGACGTACGAAAAACATGAGATTGAGCTGGGTCCGACCAAAAGATACCCAGCATGAAGCGCCAAGCTGCAGAATTTTATTTTACAGACACCTCATGAATCAATTGTGATTCTCTTGGCTAAACACTCTGACAAGGTGTTCCAGCTTTAAGCATCTGATTGATCTGATTATACTATAAGAAATTCTAAATATAAAATATGGTGCTCTTATAATCTACGAGTTAAGCTTGAAAAACTTTGTTTTAAAATCGAGAAGTATTGATGTTTTGGAAATAATCAGAATATACGTGAATATATATCTTAAATTTCAAGCACTTACCCCGACATCCTGATGAAGATTCCATTATACTTTTAGGAGTTGCAGAAACTATTAAACCCATTCATTGCAATTTTCATTGAGTGTAGGGTATCCAAAAACACATCTGTGAAATTATTTCACACTATGAGTGGAAATCCGTCAGCCTTGTTGGCGTTTGACTTTGACAATTGATGGCCGGCAGGCACATTTGTCTTTCACTTGTTGCGCTTTTTGTGAGCCAAGTTCTCTCTATGGACAACTTCCCGTTTCTGTTCGTCTTGCGTTTGCGTTGTTTGCCTTTGCATTTGATTTTGGCTTTGGTTTTGCTTTTACTCTGCACTTGGCCACATTGTCTGGCTCCGACGGCCTTTTGAAGTTGGCTCGTTATGACAAATGTGTGTCATTGCTGGCTGGGACCATCAAAGAGGCGATCGCTTGTTGGATTCGGATTTTGTTTGGCGAGGTGTATTTGAGACTATTGATGGGCGACGTAAACGGTAAAACGTGATTAAGTGAACGGCATGTGGGATTCGATGAGATGCACGATCTGCCGAATACAAAAAGTACAAAAGGTGAATCGGCAAACAATTAAATACCTACCTGCTTAAGATCAATCAAAACTAGCTTAAACGGCTGTGCAAAGCCGTTAGAAATTTAGGCTATTGGGATAAATAATATAAGGCAGTTTTCATCGGGCTCTGTATGAATAGTGGCAAGCCCGTATGACACTGGGTTCAGGGTATCTGCTAGTCGGGCACTCCAGACTAGAGCAATCTTACTTATTTACTTTATTTATTTCTTCAGCGCAAAGTTCATATTGACTTTTAAATTGGGTACATTAAATTGTTGCTTATATATGAACTGTAAGTATAATAATATTTACCTGTTGTTATGATGTAAATATTCACTTGGCGAAAAACAATTGTACAAAAGATCAGAATTTAATTTTCGGCCAATCAACTTTAAGCTCTTTCAACTTTTTATTTAATATAACAAGCAGATATTCTCCGATCCTGTCTGTGTCAAGTCTTCAGCTTACAATTTTAGATAAAAGTTTTTCACCCAATTTCCGCTTGTGGAAAATTCATGTCTACCCGACAATTTACCACAGTTGCGGTTAGAATCAGGTTGATCACCAATCAGACAAACAGTTTAATGTAAATGGAAGTTTAATGAAAGGGCGCAAAATAAGTGGAAATAGCATTTGATAGCTCGACTGATAGTTTGTAGCAATGTCCTACACATATGATAATAATAAAACACCTAAAAGTATACTCTTTGATGCCCTGTTTTAACAAAACTGTTATTACTCCTATCGTCCCCTTTTTTTTTTGCCATATGATAATGATATTTGAACTAAATTACAATCTAATCAATAGTGTTCATTTGACTTATAGAACTCAGTCAGGCATGCGTGTGCTCTTTTAGGATAAGTAATCAATTATAGAAACCGGCTATCAATTTATTGATGTTACTTTTACGGAGTCTCAAGTGTCAAATTCATTTTCTAAGAAGTCCAGTGAAATCTAATCAATGCCAAAAGTGAGTCATTGAAATTTATCCCACTCCGTATAAAGAGGGCAAGTTCTATAAAATCACAGTTAGTCAAAGCAGCCGCATTGTAGGAGATTGTTAAAATGGGCGCTCTACACATTATCCTATCGGTGCTGTGCCTAACTGTGGCTACTGCGCAGTCGTTCGCGGACATAACGCCCTTCAAAACATATCCCGCCTCCTGTAAGGAAGCCAAGGCCAAGAAGAATGGCATCTACAAGATTCAGCTGAAGGGCGGCGAGCCCTTTAACGTCTATTGTGATGCCACCATGGCCGGCATCGGCTGGTTGGTCATCCAGCGACGTGTGGATGCCAACATTAACTTCTTCCGCAATTGGTCAGCCTACCAGCAGGGATTTGGCGATTTGGATGGCAGTTTCTTTATTGGCCTGAACAAGTTGAATGCTCTAACTGCATCTCAGCCACACGAGTTGTACGTATACCTTGAGGATTTTCATGGTCAAAGTCGCTATGCCAACTATTCCGCATTTGCCATCGGCAACGAGGCCAATCTGTACGGCCTAAACACCCTGGGTATATATACCGGCAATGCTGGAGATGCGCTCCGATACCATCAGAACATGAAGTTCAGCACCTTCGACCGCGACAACGACAATAGCACCATAAACTGTGCTGCACAGTTCTCAGGTGCTTGGTGGTATAACAGTTGCATGTACAGGTAAGCAAAGACGGCCAACCTTATAAGCTAAGTTATTAATATATATATATCTTCTGTGCTTGCAGTAATCTTAATGGCGAATATTTGGGTGGCGAGTACGGACAAGATCTTGCGGGTCGTGGCGACTGCTGGGCACAATGGCTAGGTATTAATTATGCCTACAAGAGAGTGCAAATGATGATTCGACCACTGAAATAAAATCAATCAGCCTTAAGGCTGCTAGCTCTCGAAACTCCAATTAACTTTTTTTTTACTAAGAATCTAACATTTTGCTATTAAAAATGATTCGGTTCAAATTAAATATATATTTTAGGGGAGACACAGCATTAAAATATAAACAACTTGTGCCCCATTCTAATCATATTTTGCAGTTAAGCAGAAATTAAGAGCACAAAATTAAAATGTTTCATTAAAATAAAAAATTAATGATAAGCCACGGCTTGAACCAGATTAGCGAGTTGAACATTAACTGGGAGAGTTGCATCGAACCTTAAACCAACCAAAATTGTATTCAGCCTCGATTTCTCTACCGGTTCTTTGAATGGAAATGATATTTTGTATGTACACATGAACATGTCTTTCCAATGCACAACATTCTCGGATTTTGATGGAGCATCGTTTGGCGCGTTGACAGCTGCTCCAGGTCCAAATGATCCACGTTGCCAACGTGGCACGAACAGTAAATTCCGCATAACTTTGTCAAGAAAACAGCCCGACAGATTGTCGAGGTATCCAAAATAGAAACTCTTAATTGCGAGTATTACGTTGAAAATGATACCAATAAACACGGCGCAGAGCAACAAAAAAGTTTTGGAGGCAAAATTAGAACAAAATGCGACGTCTTCACGCACTAAATGTGTTATAGGATACATATGTACCATATACATACATACATACATACGTGCACATACTTAACAATATTCAGTGTGGGGACAGCTAAGAAATTCTAAAAAAAATGTCGTGAACAATATTCGAGCGAACATTCTGAAACTATTTTTCCAAAACTCACACGGCACCAGACCATGGCAGCGACAAAGACATTTTCATAAGTTATATGTCCCTAAGGTAGGAGGGCATTTGTGCTTCTATAGGCTGTTTGTAAAATAAAGCTCATCAGGTATTCGAAAATTTGTTAAACGCACATTTTTATATCCCATAGCATATATCTATAACTCTGAAATATAAAAGATATTTGACAGTAGCTTAAAGCAAATCAGGGTAAATAAGGGTATTTAGGGTTCGGCGACATTTGGCTGTCGTTTTAATTTCACAAGGAAGTGTGGAAATATTTGAGCATTCGCTTTACGAAAGAACGCGCCTCATTTCAGAACCCATCAACGACGACACGGCGGCGGAAAACCTCGGCACAATTTTCATTTCAGTCAGAAATTAAGAGATGTTGTACAATTTGATGCCTCCCCGGGCGGAGTAGCTGTGGATCTACGGATCTCTGGGGTGGGGTTATTTTTGAGAGTGTTTGAGTTGCGTGTGTAGGTGTGCGTAGGTGTGTATGTGCGTGTGTGTGTGTGGCGCTGTCAACTGCTGTTGAAAGATTTTCATGTCGCTGTTTCCATGCCGCCTGCCAGCAGGCGACAGACATGAAATTCTTGAAAAACATTTTTAAAACTTTTTTCAAATTTTTCGATTTTGTTGTTGTTGTTGTTTTGTGTTCGGCTGTTGCCTGCATACGTAAAAGATTTAGCAATAGCAATGAATTTAGTTAATTTATGGCATTATTAATGACATTTTGAAATATTAACAGAAAATAAAAAAGAAGAGCTCGCCAATGTTTGAGCTGACAAAATAAACGGCGACATTTTCTTTTACTACATTTTTTTATTTTATTTATAAATATATATATATATATATATTTTTTTTTTTGTGCAATAAATAAAAACAACTTTATATGCGCTGTTTTTCTTAAAAAGTCATGTGAGCTCTGTGCCTAAAATGTTTGATTTCCGTTCTTTTTTTTTGAATACCTCGTTTCTGAATAAGAATGCGTATTGCGAACAAAAGACATTTCACTGGGTCAGTCAGTTATTCATATATTACGCTCTGTATAGCTAGGCCAAAGTAATAAATATGCAGAATACTTTGACATTTTTGAATGGCACGAGCTAATCAACCTGCATAAAATGCAAATTTCCTAACAAAGCTCCAATCGAAATTAAAATATAAAACAAATTTACGATTTAATCAATAGAATCTTTCAGGGTCTTTTTGTCCAAATGCCATAAAATGTTGAAGCGCCTCTTCGTTTTTTTTTTTTTTAGCTGATTTAGTTTTAGTCAATAAGCCAGCTACACAAAGAAATTTACATTAATACGAGAGCAAAGTATAGCACATTATGCAAATGTTTGTTTGGCTCGAGTCTGTCACATGCCCTGGCAACAAATCCAAAAAAAACCTATATGCCATATAGCCCCGTCATTATAGATTTCGGTCTGTATTTGATGAAACTGCGCTTGAGCTTTCAGCTCTAATCAAGAATTCCACAAGTGCTGCCTGAACTGATAACCTGCGCCTGGGGCTGTTATTGAGACATGCGCAGGCGCCTAATTAATGTTTTTTAGCTGAGATTTCGACTTTCTTGAATTCATTAAATAAAACAAAAACAAAAACAAACAAAAAAAAATAAATAGTATAAATAAAAAAGCATTAACAAATCTGCTGCGTGTGCACATTCTTGGCAAACAACTTTGATCCCATTTAATGTATAGATTTATAAATATACTGATTAAAGTTATTTAGAAATAAAATAGGGATGGAAAATACCACTGAATGCCAAACGTAACAATATAACCAAAATCTTATATAATGGATATAATGTGTTTCGATCTTATACAGGGTATAAAAGATCTATGATTATTTAATGAATATACATTTAATATATTTTAAATGCATTTGACATTTTCATTGCTTCCAAAAGCAAACACATGAATTTCAAAGCCAACGCAACTAAAACATATTTATCAATTTTATTTGTATTTGAAATTTTTGTTGTAAATTTTTTTTATATACGTCTGGCGTGTTTATAATTTATTGCATAATTATTAAAAAATAAGAAAAACTTTGTAAAAACATTTACAAGGCTTACGAGTTATTGGCTAAGGACAATCGAAATATAATTCCCAGAATTTGCCGACAGCGAATTTAAGTGTTAAATATAACCCGAACAATGCTCGAATCCCATATATTTTACGCTTAATCTTACAAGCGGATTATAAGAACTGAAACATTTCAAATTAAATTTCTGCAATAAATGCGGGAAAAGTTTTTCGCAATATTTTTTTTGGTTTGATTTTTGAAGGCGAACTTCGTTTATCTAAAGTTAATATAACCATATTCTGCGGGCGTGGCCCAAAATGCTCGTTACTTTTTATACCCTGCACACAATTACAATGGGTAAAAGGGTATAATGTTTTTTCATATAATGTAGTACACAAGCTGCAGATCAAGTCTAAGTCTTGACTGTCTAAAATTGCATAATGAATTATATGGGCTTGGTTTC